TGTTTCATGATTTTATGCTGCCTTGCTGCACAATAAATCTTGAGGACAACAGTAACAATAACAGAAAAGATAGGTTAGATGTATTTCCTGTCACTTGTCTACTCTCAACATACTGTGCCTCTTCATGTAAACCTAACTGTGTGAAGCACACATGAATTTCTGTATGCGTATTTCCATAGCTTTCTTTGGCCATCTGTATACCCGTAATGTGAACAGAAAAATGCACCCCAAGACACTGTTACATGAAATACGGTACATGAAATAATATCACAACTGCAAAGGAGTTTAAAAGCAAACCTTTCCACAACTTAAAACACCACCTGTGAACATCTTTTTGGCATTGGTCCGTCAGAGTCAGAAGCAGTGCTTTTTTATTTCTCATTGTGGAAAAATGTTTTGCATTACAGCAGAAACTAGTTTTTCCACTGGCAAGGACCACAATACAACACAATGTCATGTAGCCATAAAACGTTGCAAGTTTCATGCAACCTAACATATAATCTAAAAGCATCTAATCTAAAGAACACACAAATGTAGCATCATGCGCCTTCGTGGGTGGAATCAAGATAGGTAACAAACTGCTAGATTGTTGTACTGATGTGTGTTAATGTCGTCTGTTGTGCCTCCAGGAGCTGAACGACTTGAACATGTGGGGCCTTAATATCTTTCGCGTGGCAGAGTTCTCTAATAACCGACCCCTCAGCTGCATAATGTTTGCCATCTTCCAGGTGAGAGACGGAGAGACTGAGCTTTAAGTAGCAATGGATTATATAGTATATCATGTAGCATGACCTATCTGTGACCGTGACCACTGTGGACTTTTCTCTGCTGCAGGAAAGAGATCTACTGAAGACCTTTCGGATCCCTGTAGATACATTTGTCACCTATGTAATGACCCTGGAGGACCACTATCATGCCAATGTGGCCTACCACAACAGCCTCCACGCTGCAGATGTCACTCAGTCTACTCATGTACTGCTATCTACACCTGCTCTAGATGTAAATACCTCTTCTGATCCACCAATGGCAAAGACGCACCATTACTATAAATACCAAATACACATCTAACTTCACATGCAGGCCCTCTACAAATAATAAAGTAGTCGAAGGCAAATAGTAAACTGCTGTTTAACAGATTATTTTTCTCTTTTGTCTTTTTGTGTCATTTCTCTCTGGCGCAGGCTGTGTTCACAGATCTAGAGATACTAGCTGCGTTATTTGCTGCTGCCATCCACGATGTGGACCATCCAGGAGTGTCCAACCAATTCCTCATAAACACCAGTGAGTCAACGTGTGATTATAAGTCACACAAACGTATGAATTATAAAAAAAAAAAATAGAATGGGGGGAAAACAGGGGGCTTCATGATGGCAAGGAGGACAAACAAAAAGCTGCTTACTGCTGCTGAAAAAAACAAACGGTTCTAGTAGGTAAGTAAACTAGTACGTCTCAATAAAAGGTGGAAAGCTATAAAAGAAGCAGTACAATAAAGATCCACTATGTGAGAATAAGATGAGGCCCGTTTTCTGGGTCAGCTATTTTAATAATACCTGGCATTTCACATCTTTCTACCCAGCAAAGGTCTGTCTTTAATGTTGCATTTAAACTCTAATTTTATATATTTATCATGTCAGTTTTTATGTAAATTGTGACTGTTTTATGTTTATGCTGATAATAAAATGTATTCAACCTCTAAATCATATTATAACTAATCATGCTGCAAAGAATTGGAGAAAACATTTAGGAGAAAATACTAGGAGATATACACTCACTGGCCATTTTATTACCTTGCTAGTACCTTGTTGGACCCCCTTTTGCCTTCAGAACTTCCTTAATTCTTCGTGGCATACAACAAGGTGTTGGAAACATTCCTTAGAGACTTTGGTCCATTTTGAAATGATAGCATCACACAGTTGCTGCAGATTTGTTCAGATCTGGTTACTGTGGTTTTGAGATGATTTGAGATTTGGGACATGGTGCATCATCCTGCTGAAAGTAGACATCAGAGTGGTCATAAAGGGATGGACATGGTCAGCACTAATACTAAGGTAGGCTGTCATGTTTAAACTATGCTCAGTACTAAGGGGCCCCAAGTGTGTCAAGAAAATATCCCCCACACCATTACACCACCACCACCAGCCTGAACCGTTGATACAAAGCAGGATGGATCCATGCTTTCATGTTGTTTAGGTCAAATTCTGACCGTACCATTTGAATGTCAAAGCTGAAATCGAGACTCGTCAGACCAGGCAATGTTTTTCCGATCTTCTATTGTCCAGTATTGGTGAGCCTGTGTGAATTGTAGCATCAGTTTCCTGTTCTTAGCTGACAGGAGTGACACCCGGTGTGGTCTTCTGCTGCTGTAGCCCATCTGCTTCAACGTTCAATGTGTTGTCTGTTCAGAGATGGTATTCTGCATACTTTGGTTGTAACGATTGTTTATTTGAATTACTGTTGTCTTTCTGTCATCTCGAACCTGTCTGCCCATTCTCCTCTGACCTCTGACATCAGCAAGGCATTTTTGTCCACACATCTGCCGCTAACTGGATATTTTCTGTTATACGGACCATTCTCTGTAAACCCTACACATGGTTGTGCATGAAAATCCCAGTAGATCAGGAGTTTCTTAAATACTCAGACCAGCCCGTCTGGCACCAACAACCATGCCACGTTCAAAGTCACTTAAATCCCCTTTCTTCCCCATACTGATGCTCAGTTTGAACTTCAGCAAGTTGTCATCTACATGCCTAAATGCATTGAGTTGCTGCCATGTGATTCACTGATTAGCTATTTGGGTTAACAAGCAATTGAACATCTGTTCCTTGTAAAGTGGCCGGTGAGTGTATGAAGTGATTCATATATATTTGAAATTAAAGAATTTGTGTGAATTGAAGAATTGACAATTAGAGACACTACATTTGGTCAATGTTGTCATTTTATGTATAACTGGATTTTCTTATGGTTTCTCAGGTCAGTTGAAATTCTCCTTTATGTTTGCCTTTGGTACTGTAGTCGGTTTAAGTTAAAAAAACGTTTTAGTTTGTTCTATGTTTTTAGTACATCTGTTCAGAATGTAAATTGTGTGGTTTTTGTTGTTCTAAATGGAGAGACTTTATTTGCATTCAGAGTTTTTCTTTATTCAACCAAGTAGTTGTATATTTTGAAACAGTGCCACCACAGTGTTTCTAGTAGGAGCATGCTGATGCAATTACTGTACGTGTTTTTGACTCATATGTGTTGTATGGTGCTTCTCTCAGACTCAGAGCTAGCCCTGATGTATAATGATGAGTCTGTGTTGGAGAACCATCACCTAGCTGTGGGCTTTAAGCTGCTTCACGAGGACAACTGTGACATCTTCCAGAACCTCAGCAAAAGGCAAAGACAGAGCCTGAGGAAACTTGTTATTGATATGGTGAGTGTTGTCAACACACTAATTCTGTATTACGAAGATAGCTACCTTCTTCAGTTCCCTTCATCTGCTTCTTAGATCTCCTTTATCTCCTACCACCCTTCAATTCTCCATCGTTTTTTTTTTTTTTACTAATGCATTCATATCAATTTCCTTCCCAGGTTTTGGCAACAGATATGTCTAAACACATGAGTTTGCTGGCAGACCTCAAGACTATGGTGGAAACCAAGAAAGTGACAAGTTCTGGAGTACTGCTGCTCGACCATTACACTGATCGGATACAGGTGAGACGCCATCTTCCAGTCAATTTACACTTAACTTCAACAGACAATTTAGCCATTTAGCAGATGTTCTGATTCCAAAAGAAGCGAAAATTACCGAAATATTGACAGGATATATTCAATTAATTCAGAAATTAATTGAATATGTTTGAGAAGAAGGCTAAGCAGGATGTAAACATTGCTTTGGCTAGAGTTGAAGCAGAGGTTACGGGGCGGTGGACAGAACACCAACTCAGGTGAAGGCTGATTTTTACCCCTGCGACAAAGTGTTGCACTTCTGCAGGACAGGTCTGTTACGTGGGAGATATGGTCTCATCATAACTTAAATGCCCCTCGTCAAAATGTCATTGGCATGTTGAGGTTACACTGTGGACATGGACACCACAAGAATGCTATTTTGCATTTTCTCCAACCCGTTAAGCTAAGGCAAAATGGAGGTTAAAAAGGGTTAAATAGTCTCTTCTTTTTAAGTGTTTTAGTAACTTGGGTATTACAAAAGGTAGGACCATAAGATGCACAGACTCTGATGAACTCAATAATCCACATCTGTAGTATCTCGTTATCAAGGGCTATGCTTAAGTATTTAATGGATGAAGTAGATGTTACTTTATTTTGTTGAAGAAGACAAAAGGTCTTGCAGAAAGGAAGTGTTGCTTGGTATCATCTAAATCGAGTTTGATGGACTGAAGATGTCAGCCAGGCATGCAGGAATGTATTTGACCTGTCTTTAACTAACATGCAAGTGCTTTCTCAGATATCCCAGTTTTCACAAGAGTGCCAAGGAGGCTGTTGTTGTTGTCTGACCTGAGGTCAGGATACTCAGAAATAGAGAGGAGAGCAGTGTTGGGTTCAGTATGCCAGTTAAAATCCTGACTGATTGGGATTGGAGTTTTGGCAAGACATCTGTAGTCGTAGTTGTTGACATTAGATGGGTGAAGAGTTCTTCTTGGTTAATATGGTGACGAGTGGCAGAGGAAGCTTTTTAAATATGATGTGTGTTGTGTGTACCTGCCAAAGTTTGTGACTAAATCGTGTGCAGAAATAGGAAAAGAGGGGGAAAAAGTTGAGAAAGCTTCCTAGTTTTAAAGGCAGGGGATTGGAGTTGTACTGGCAATTAATAGAAGAGAAAGGAAAATGGAACGAAGTGAAAGAGGTCATCAGAAAGCTGGGTTTGAACCACCTTGTTTTAGATTCTAAAAGATGTGTTGGTGTACTCAGCATTTAAAACTTTGCATACATACATAATATAGTGTGTGACATGTGATTGTGTGCTTGTGCAGGTGTTGAGGAACATGGTGCACTGTGCTGACCTGAGCAACCCGACGAAACCGCTGGCTGTGTATCGACAATGGACGGAGAGAATCATGGAGGAGTTCTTCAGGCAGGGAGACAAGGAGCGAGAGCGAGGGATGGAGATCAGTCCCATGTGCGATAAACACACTGCATCTGTGGAAAAGAGCCAGGTAAATGATCAGCTCTGAAGTACACAACTGGATAACTGTTAATGCTGTAGGTGGGGTGATAAGTACAGCGCAGATAGTGATCAGTCATCTCTGATCACAGCAGTCATCCTCATACATTTTTAATGCTGATTTGTAAGGAGTAAAATGACACCACTGAGCTAATTTATATGATGTCAGTCATACTCCTTTCTTTATCTGGATGCAGGTGGGCTTTATTGACTACATTGTCCACCCGCTGTGGGAGACATGGGGGGACCTTGTGCATCCTGATGCCCAGGACATCTTGGACACTCTGGAGGACAACAGGGACTGGTACCAGAGCACTATCCCACAAAGCCCCTCGCCACCTCCTGTGGGCCACGATAAGGAGCTAAACGCCTGCATGGACAAGTTTCAGTTTCAGCTCACCCTCGAAGACGGCTCTCAGAGAGAAGACGAGTGTGATAACCCTACGCCAAACCACGTGGCACAGGACTGCAGTCAGGGGGAGGAGGAGGAGGAGGAGGAGGAAGAGGGTAAAAAAGAGAAAGAGGAAGGCATAATGGCAGAGGAGGAAAATGAGGACATAATAGAAGAGGAGGACGAGGTGGCAATGGAGGAAGAGGAGGTGGAGGAGGAGCAGGAGCAGGAGGAGGAACTGAAAGCTCAGTTGGAGGTGAGATCTGAAAAAGAGAGACTTTCTGACACAAGTCCTGTAGAGGAAGAGGAAGATTCTTCTTCACAAGCTGAAGATACATGAGTTCTGCTCCTGTATCTCCCTCCTCACTTGCACACATTATCTTGTTCATCCTTTCAATGGCCAAAACCAAGAACAAATAAGACTGCAATGACAATACAGACCTTTAAATATATTTTTCAAAAAGGGAATAAATTAAAATTGCTTCTAGAGAAGGTAATTACACAGCAACTGTAGATTTGGAGTGGTGACAAGTCCTTCGACTGATTTCACAATGAATTTTAGACTAAGAGGAATTTAGGAGAGCATTAACGGTGGGCAACTGAAGACAGCGCGTAGCACTCTGGGACTGGAATGCACACACATAAACACACAGAGAGTGTCACACACATAGCACATAGTAGGAGTAAGTCATGTAGAACACACCAACGCAATGTGCGTACACTCACACATCAGTCATACAGTACAACTGGAGCCCAAATGTACCCCTTTCTTGCAAACGCACAGGCACACCAACACACACACACATACACACACACACACACACACGCACACTTTACTGTATGTTTGCATGTGTGCATTTACATGAGGGACAATGATCAGTAAACTCTTTGGAAAAAGCCATCTCTATTAACTAGTGTTCAGTCAGTATTAGTAATTCATGTTTGTTAGGACCTCAACAGATACTGTTCTCCTCAGAAAAGCTACACATCCGAGTGACTTTTTTTCCATTTCTGTCGGAAAGAAAAATAAGATAAATCCACAGAGTTGGAGGAGGAGAGTAAAAGATATTGAAGCAAAGGAAGACGCTGCGATGAAGGGACCGCCGGGTCCCATACCCCTTTTCCCTTTACAAGGAGAGTGCTACTGGTGCAAGATGGCTCTGTGCCTTTCTGAAACACCAGCTTCCTGAATGGAGCTGTCGTGAAGCAATGCATTGTGGGACAGGAGTGTCTGATTTTGTTATAATTTTTGATTGTCTCTTGTTAAAGATCTCTCTTTACTGTTCATGATATTGTGGTGTGTATCTCACACGTACAGTTTCTGTGGTGATATGTTTTAAGCTGTTAGTCTTCCTTTGTTGCTCTTCTGGTAATATAATAACTCAGAACTCTAGATGCAGAGCAATCACAACCACCACCACAACACACCTGTGGACTCTTTGCAGCTTTTATTTTTTTCTCTTATTAGAATGATTTTTTAAACTTTCTGATAATAAGCCATGTGATGCTTTGAAGCATAAGTTTTGCCTATTTTCTATTTAACAGTTGCTAAATACGTTGAAGGGATACAGAATTATTTCATCAGCAGAACAAATTTTCACTCGCCATCTCTAACCCACTTGCACTGTGTGTTTATGTCCCCCCATACACAACAATTCTCACCAAAGGAAAGGATGAAGAACTTCAGTGGGTGAAGTGATTTGAAGGCACACAGGTGAATAAGAAAATCAGGGAGGCAGAATGTCAGGGGAAAGAAGCATGACTTGGCCAAATGGTGGTCTGGCAGTCCCTAATCATCCTTGTTATGTTAGATGCTTTTTTGCCTTAATGTCAGATGCAGGATACATACCTGCCAGTATGTAGATTTATAAGATATATAATAGATATCCTAGTATATTTATATCACGTCTGTATGGTTATTTCTGTGAGAATCAGTGTGTCATTACACAATGTGTCCAGCGTTTCATTTGGAGGGGAAAAGGAAACATTGCTGCCATATAGTTATGTTGTTGGGGTGCTTGGACCAACTTAAAGAATGTGTTGTTTTTTAATCAGGACGGTAAAATGACTATCGTCTAGATACCTGGAGGCATGCAGAGAATATAAGAAATGGGAGTTAAGATTTTGCAGGCAATGAGAATGAATAAGGATGTTTGAATCTGACCAGATATTGATTTGTTGACCTGTTGGAGATGATGCGTGCGTGTGTTTGTTTGTGTGGCTTATTTTGTGGTCGTGAGTAAGCGAGCAAGTACTGGAAAGAGAAGGCAGGATGCTTAAGATGTCGTAACGTGTCATTGTTCCCTCACTGGCATCCCCACATCTTGTGGAATGGTGTTCAGGATTCTATCAGCACAGCTTAAATGGGTCACAGTTTGTTTAGGTGTTTGTTTTTCACAGGGTAAAAAAAAACAACATAAAAGAACATGGGTGTGGTTCATTTGAAGGTAAGAGCAAGTTTCTGCAGGTCAGTAACTGAGCTTATCTGAAGACACCACAGCTCGGTGCAACAGAAGCCTGTGTGTTTGACCTGCTCTGTCGCAGGATGGAGCAGAGCTGCGGGGCCACCACACAGGCTTTCATCTAATGGAATGGGAATCCAGGATTACTCTTGCAGTTACATCAATAAAAGATTCCCATATGCATCGGCCTTTTACTTTCAAGATGTTGCTTTCTTTTTGTGGCTTACTGTTATGTCATAAGCTATAAAACATTAATATTTAATTGCCATACAAACACAATACTGTAGCAATTGTTTCTTATAAAAAATTCAATTGATTGATTGCTGCCATTCTTTTTAAATGATGAAAAGAAAACCATGGGAAGTGTTTTCTTTGAACAGTTTGTGTACAGTTTATTTTTATATCATTCTGGTGGATGGTCTGGAAAATGAATCACGTGTTGATGATATATCTCTAAGCATTACCACTCTTGTATATAATGTAATATTGGATTGTAAATTATAAATTTATCCAAGTCATACTGATTGACAAATAACCACTTAGGGTTGTTAAGTGAACCACTGAAGCACTGCAGGCCACATCCTCACCTTTTCATTCTCTGATTATGTTTTTGCTCACATGTGCTAAAATTATGTCACTTTTTTTTAAGTGTCCACATATATTGTTAAAATCAAATATATTTGTACCAGCACTTTATTTCATCAGGTTTTGGGGCAGAGAGTGTGTGTCAGGTAGTGTACAGTCTGTGCTGGTGGTTTGGTCATTGGCAGTCGCCTGTTCTTATATTCCATTGGGCCAAATCACAAACCTTCATTGTGCAGTATTTAATGTTAACCCCTTTTCTAGAGGCATAATCAAACAAATTAGTCATTCTCTATTTATAGCCTATGGGATTTATTTGACTTACAAAGTCAAATGGAAGCTGATGTGGTCACATAGGATGTGACACGTTCAAAGGAAATACATGTGTCCTTATCTAACTTGGCCATTTCTAGTACTATCACCACCTCTGTTTCTTAGTAACTTTAATAACTAGCCTGATAGCCTAAATGTCAATTAATGGTGACCTTGCTGGTTCCCATCGGGTTGCTGTCAGGTTACTTTGTCGCAGACTGACTCCCTCTGTGAATAATTCTCTGGGCTTTAATTCATGTGTTTGTTCACAAGTAAGAAAGATTATTCAAGGGAAAAAACAAACATGAAATGATTGTAATATTTGTAAATGATCTTGCTGTAATGTGTAAAATGTGTCCAAGTTATTTTTTATTATATTATTTTTATGAAAGTTTTTCCTCTTAACAGAGCTGAGGTGTCATTTTGTGAATAAATGCATTTAATAAGCAAACATCTATATATAAAACAATATTATAGTATATCAGTATATTTTTCTTTTATTTCACTGTTCGGTACTGTAAAGTGTGTTGAAAATACAAATAAAAGTAAGATTTTTATATGAAATGCAATACCATTGTCATGTTTGCTGTTATTATAGTTTCAAATATGCTGTTTGATAGTTTGTTAGCAATATAATACTTGTTTGTGTGTATTGTTTGCATTAATACTAGTGCTGTAGTACTCGAGACCGGTGTTGGTCTCGAGACCAGTCTTAAGACCACTTTTTGATGGTCTTGGCCTCGACCGAATTTGTACTCGTTCTTGTCTCAGTCTCGGACATTGAGGACTCGGGATTTTATTTCAAGACCAGTCAAGATCATAACTTTGGGAATATCAATAAATTCCTTTTGCATTGTCTGATTTATTTGTTAACATCCTAACTTTGATTGGATGTAAAACGTACTGCTTCAATGCAACCAATAACCCTAATTAAAAATGTGTTGTTCCCGTTAACGACTGCCCCCCCTCCCCACGATGGTCAGCATGGAAAAGGAATGTTAGATGTTTACGTTGTTTTCAGCTCTTAGTGTTTGTATGTGGGTGTTTTAATGGGAAAGCAGATGTTTCAGATCAATTTTAGAAGTACCTATGAACTCGTTCCACATTTTATTGTGTGTCATGTAATATGGGGAACTGGTCTTGGTCTCGACATGGTCTCAGCCCCTAAAAGTCTTGGTCTTGTCTTCGTCTCGATAAACTCTGGTCTTGGTCTTGACTTGGTCTCGGTTTGGGCGGTCTTAAATACAACACTAATTAATACTTTTCATTTATTTGTCCAGGGGCTGGTAGTGTAATGTTATTTCTAACTGTCCCAATTTCACAGTTTCTAGCCTTAATGCTCTGTAGTGTAGTGTAAAGGGCACCTCTACTGGGCTCATCGTTTGCTCCAGTATAGGTTTGTACCATACAGTCTGTGGTTTGTACCACGTGCACACATCCTCTATTTAACAATGTCTAGTCTAGTGTGTGTGAGACTGAAACTTTATGGAAAAAATGCCACAAAAAGCTGCCACATAACGTTATAATTGATGATTAATGATAGGCTAGTGGTTGTTAAAGACATGTAGACAATCTCTAGATGCATTTGAATGATAATGCAAATTTAAAAATAATATTTGGCTACTTGGTCGTTATTTGCTTGTTTGTTTTACACTATGATTAACTCAAGGTAAGGATAACAGCGTAAACAGTGACAAGTAATGTACCTGTCTGACTCTGGCATGAGATGGCTGCATCCTCAAGTATACCCAGAATCCTCTACTTCAGACTGTGCCACCGCTCTCCGCCAATCACAAGGCCTAAACAAAGCATCGCCCAATCAGAGTGAAACAAGACAGACAGGAGGTGGGTAGGCGCATGCGCCTTTTGCGACACCATGACCCGCCCTAATCTGCCACTGATTGGCTAGTACTCGTTACCTTCGTTGGTTAGGTTCAGGCAAAAGGAGTGCGATTGGTTAGGGTCAGGGTACAATACCCTGGTAAGCCAATCAGAGGAAGAGTAGGGCGGGTCTTGCCTTCGCAATCCTGAGGGGAAAAAAAGAATATCGCGACCGGTAATGATTACCTTTTAGCTTGGTCTAAGAAGATAAAAATAGGATTAGAGTTTTCTTTGTCTGTATGTACTTTTTAACGTTATACACTAGAGGTAGTATGATGTTATTGTAATGACATACGCTCACTTGGTGTTTTTTTATTTACTTGTTAGTTTATTGTTTGCTTTTGGCTAACGTAACGTTAAAGCCTTAGCTAACGTTAAATATGCTATTAGCATTAATGAGTTAGCTCTTGGCTAACTAACAAGAAGTCCTACGTAATCTACTTTTGTTTTTAACGTTATCTACCCTGTATATCTGTAAGTTGTGAAAGTGTGCTTGCTTTATTGGTCTGAACATTTTGTGATTGATTAGGCGTTTCCGGTGCAGTGGACTCATATTATATTCTAACCCAGTGTGGAGCTGCACCATCATGACGTGCTGTCAGTACCTCCTCCTCCTGCTGCTGCTGAATGTCGGAGTCTCAGCGGTGGAAGTCCAACGCCCTCGCGGTGTTCCTTTGTCAAGTAAGCATTTATAGTTTAATTACAACAAATACAACAGAACCACGAGTGCAGGTTATGTATTTAACGCAGTGGTGAAAGTTAATAGTCAGTTCTCTGTAGTTTTGGAGCTGTCATGGCACTGACTTGTTTCTTCTGTTCAACCTCTAAAGAACGGCAGTTCTATGAAGAGGGCAAACCTTTTACTTGCCTGGATGGCTCCCGCACCATTCCCTTTGACAGAGTAAATGACGACTACTGTGACTGCCAGGACGGCTCTGATGAGCCGGGTGCGTATATCTTGCATGCCGTTTAGTACTATTACTTTTTCCATAGCGCACTGAATCAGTAATATAATATAGGAGCTCTGCTTATTTAGTGTAAATCCTGCTTTGCCAGATCATGACAATACCACACAGCTGTTTTGTATATTTGATAACATTTAACATTTATTTGCAGGCACTGCTGCTTGTCCCAATGGTAGCTTCCACTGCACCAATGCAGGTTTCCGACCAGGGTTCATCCCTTCCTCCCGCATCAATGATGGAATCTGCGGTATGAATTTTAAACTAATTTTTTTTTCCAGGTGTATTGTGTAGGCAGGACTTTGTTTAACATCTGTGTTTCCTGTACAGACTGCTGTGACACAACAGATGAGTACAACAGTGGTGCTGCCTGTCAGAACACCTGCAGGTGGGAGTGTTTTTGGATTATAACTGTAATAACACAATTTACAGCCTGAGCCCAATTTCTCCATAGAGCTTATGCTTTTGCTTACACACACATTGTGTTTTCAGAAAATGTTTAACATTTTTATTTTATTTTATTTTTTTATTATGTTTTACATTATGTGTGATTTGCAGGGAGTTGGGGCGCAAGGAGAAGGAGAGCCTGCAGAAGATGGCAGAAATTGCCAAGGAGGGCTTTCTGCTAAAACAACAACTTATCCAGGAAGCCAAGAGAGGCCTAGAGGATAAGAAGGTGAATGACAAGAAAATCTTTGGTATATGTGTGTGTAAAAATCAAGATCTAGAACTCTGAAACATGGATTATCGGGTTGTGAAGTATGTTTTTATACAGATATACTGATGCTTAAGTAAACTACGTTTGAAGTTATCTACACCAGCAATTGTATAACTGGCTGTGTCAACTATATTTTCTGTATTATACACAGAAAAAGTCAAAGCAGTAGGGAAGTGAACTTAGGTTGAGCACATCGTACTCACTCATTTAGGAGGGTGGCCTGGTTTATATCCAAAACTAGATGCTGGCTATCTCAAGTCAAACAATTCAGCAAATTTTAGGGTAACAAAAGATGCCAGTGGCATACCCAGGATGTGTTTTCGTTATCTGGCTTCACTAATCCTACCATTTGCGGTCATGCTAAGCAGTCTCACAACGCTGGTTATCAACTCGGTAAATCAACCCGGGGTTTCCCAATTCAGCCATGGGCGCATTCACATAAAATGGCCAGTGTTTGTAGCAGATGACCAATCACAAAAATGGACAAGTCTACGGGCAGCAGAGTATCATATTGCTACTAACATTAGACAAATATGAAGAAGTTAAACACGTAATCCAGGTGTGTGTTAAATCGACACAAGTGCAGCTGCCTTATGCTGGAAGCACAGCTGGCAAAAATCACTGTCTGTGTGAATGTGGATAGGCTTATAATGTCATGTCCATTGCCCCATCATTAGGGAGCAGGTTGATATGATTTTAAATAGCATACATGTATAGTCCATTAAATTTACGTGTTGCTAATATGTATTCTTATGTATGAGAATTTTAGCATTATTCTTTCAGCAGCTAATTTAAAACGTTGTTCTAAATTAACTTCATAAAGCATCAAAACTTTCATGTCATAAAAGTGCTCAAATAGTGTTTCTCAACCACACTTTCACTACCCAACAATTACTGAAAACTCACCCACATTATCTGCGACCAAAGAGCAAAAGGTTGTCAGTACATGACCGTTTTCTATAATATAAGAAACAAATTTAACCTAAAGTTATAATGAACAAATTCATATTAAACTTTATTTGAATACCAAAATAAACACTCATAATATTTACATAACAATATTTTAATGGCTGCGTTAGGATGTGTGAAATGGACTTGGGAGCAAATAAAAAATAAATATACAAACATAATTTAAAGCGTTAAGTAGACTTACTTTCATATCTTGAAGTACAAAAAGTACAAGGCTTTAGTGCTTCAGTCTCTCTCGTATGATGACATTGGTATACAAAAGCATCTCTACATCACCCACAACATACATATACATATATAAAACAGTCTGCAGGATCTTCTACGACTTGTGATGCCATTTTTAAGAGAATTGATTGGACAGTAGGCAATGCTTATATAACGTTGGTCTCCATAAGCATAACCTGTGGCCTGTACTATGAAGCGAGTTAAGGTAACTTCCGGAGAAACTTCCGTAAATTTGTGACGTCGGGTGTAACTTTCCAGTTAACCCATTCTATGAAAGGTGGATAGATGTTAACCGAGGTCTTTTGTCATGGCAATTTACGCTGCATCTCTAAACTGCTCCGAGCAAGTTTTGTTTGTGGTTAACTCAAGGTTACCCTGTATACGTGGACTACACATCACATCTGTACTCAGTGTTAATGATGAGAAGTAGGCTATTAATACATAGCCCTCCACTTGATAAAATATGTAATATTGCAGCTGAAATTACATTCTTAACGAAACAACATTACGTTCATACAGCGAGCCCTGCAGCCTCTGTGATTTAAGGGAGGGATTTATTAATTAGACTAAATAACGGGACAGTTGTCTGTAGGCTATAATGGAATTATCCCAACTGTTTTCACATAGGCTATTTAGATTGACTAATTTATGTGTCCAAAGTACGGAGCCAGGGTGGTGGTAAATAAACTGAGAAAAAAAATCCAAGATGTAAGTGGTAAATTTACAGGAACAAAAATCAGAAATTCCCTGAAGTTAAAGTTACAAAAAATCCAAATCACTCTGGTGTGTTTGTATGAATACTCCCAATCCACAGCAAAGTCTGTAATGTGCATGATTATAGGCTATAGTGATTGTGGGCTAAACTCACATTATTTACTCGATTGTGATTATTAGTTTTTTGTAAATCTACCACATTAATAGGCCCTATTGGAAATTCTTTCCCCTTCTTCACTGGCTCCATTTTTTTTATTACAATGGACATAATATGCAGTTGTACCTTTTACATCTTAATCATATTGGGCTACACGTAAAAGAAAGTCCATAAAATACAAAATAGAAAATTAGCCTACAGTAAGAACACTGTGAAGATAATTACAAATTTACTCCATGCAATGCCAAGAAGCCTCCCTGGCTTTGTCTGCCACCACAATATTAGATTTTGCTGTCTTGGGAAAAGACGTTGCGAAAAAACTGCTTGCACGGCCGAACACACCCCTTTTATGTGATTGCGCACCAACTCCGCTTAAGTTAACACCGACTCAACTAACAAACATCTTATCCACCGGCCGCTGCTCCAGAGCAGTAATCAGTTATGTTAAAATAGCTTTTTATGAGACCAGCATCATTATAGTTGTTGTAACATCTTATAGTAGTTTGTTGTTTCATAAATTAAATGGAGTTTTCCTGTATTGTGTAGATCTTATTTGGTTAATTGTATTATTTTGATTTGTCTCAACAGGCAAAACTTGCGGAAGTTCAGGCTGGTAAAAAGGATCTGGAGGAGAAGGTGGAGGCTTTGAGAACTGTAAAGGAGACTGCAGAGCAGCCAGAGAAAGAAGCCAAAGAGCGCCATCTGAAGGCCTGGGAAGGTAAATTAAGCTGTGAAAGTATGTCACCGTCTACTGTTTGAACAGACTGAGAGCAAAACATTACAGACAGTATTGTCTATTTTATTAAAAAAATGCGAGCTGCGCTAAATTGAATGGATGCCGAATACACCAGTAGTCCTCAAAAAACTTGAATCACTGATAACTCAACAAAAAGTGTTATTTGTTTCAGATGAAAAAGCTCTGATTCGCATCCAGAAGGACAAGGCTAGAATGGCTGAGGTGTTTCTTGAACTGGATGATGACGCAGATGGCTTGTGAGTATCACCAGAATTGTTGACGCCCAAAATGAGGGAAGATTTACTGCAGTGGTCTGCAATAGGCGGCCACAGGCCAGAACTGGCCCGCCAGCAATAACCTCTGGCCCGTGGCCAGATTGCTTTGTTAGCAGAAAAATAAATAAATTGATAACGGCTAACCGAAATAGATCTCAGTCATGACAGCAACAGTTACTCACATAACGACTTCCTCTTAAGTAATTGTGCCTCTAAAATAAAAGCGCAAGAACGTATTTTGCAGCAATAATTTATGTTGAGTTTATTAAGAGCTTTTACTTTAAAGAGTTCTGAAGGAAATTCAAAAGAGTCTCTGGCCTGCTTGACACACCTGAAAAAGCTGTCAGTAAACGTGTGATTGGATTTCCCTGAATTTTGTCAGGGAAATAAAAAAAAAGTATCCATAGGTTTATGAATGCAGATCAAACGCCGGAATGCGCACACTGCAGCACATGCCTTATATGAGCCTGTGCAAAAGTGTCCTATTATTCAATTTGCTTAAAAGGGAGAAAAAAAATATCTGCAATAAGATGGAATCGATCTCACTACCTAACCGTCGGGAGTCCCGCACAGGAGGGGTCCTGCACAGCACCGACTGAGCTTAATGCACACATGATTTCATTTCATTTCATTTGATTTGTTCTGCCCCACCATATAACGGCTTGGAAAAATTTGGCCCGATGCCAGACTTATTTGCCGACCCCTGATTTACAGTGTTGTGAAGGTGACCAAGGGTAACTTTAGGAACAAAGGTAATGCGAGAGGAAGCAATTCATTTCAGAAGCGTTTGTTGTTATATTTTTTTGAAATTCTCTTTACATCCGGACAGCAATCAATAAGTCACATGCTGACACAAACATGGGAGAAAAAAATCTGTCAGTTGCAGGACTAGTAATAAGTGCAGCCAATCATTTGGTCTGAATTAAATTAATGCACATGAAAATCTGTTTTTGGGGAGTGGCTTTGGAGTAGGGATGAAACGATTACTGGTTTAACGATAAACCATGGTAAAATTCCTGTTGGTTATTATTACTGTACACATTTTAATTACCATGATAACCGGGTTCGGTTACCATGCTATCATAAACTCATACTGTGCAGCATCAACCAAAGTTAGCGACGGTCTACCAGAAGCAGGCGCGGTATGCTACGAGGGTTTGTTTGGGTCTGTGACAACACAGCGGAAGACAGCGCTGTGGAGATTTTTTAGTCACTCTGAAGCCTGGTTGTATTTTAGTTTTTATGAGATCGCTGAGGGAAACTTGATTTTAACAAAATAATAATAATAATAATAATAATAATCCTTATTTGTAGAGCACTTTTCAAAAACAAGTTACAAAGTGCTTTAACAAGTGTAAAGAATAATACAAAAAAAGATAAGAGCATGAAAATTTAATATAAAATTAGTAAAATACAATAAAATAAAAGGGATAAAATAAAGTCAAATAAGATCGGGAAAGGCTCTCCTATAAAAGTATGTTTTAAAAAGGGACTTAAAAGAGTTCACTGACTCAGCCGACCTGATTTCCTCGGGCAGGCTGTTCCAGAGCCTCGGGGCCCTGACAGCAAACGCTCTGTCCCCTTTAGTTTTCAGTCGAGACTCTGGAACAGACAGCAGACCTCTGCCCGAGGATCTCAAGGTACGTGCTGGTGCGTATGGGACTAAAAGGTCAGAAATATAACAAGGCGAGAGGCCATGAAGAGCTTTAAAAGTGATCAATAGAATTTTAAAGTCAATTCTAAAACATACTGGGAGCCAGTGTAATGCAGCTAAAATAGGAGTAATGTGGTCATATTTCTTTGTTCTGGTTAAAAGCCTGGCAGCTGAGTTCTGGACAGTCTGGAGTCGATCAATAGATTTTTGGGTTAAACAGGTGAAAAGGCTGTTGCAATAATCCAGGCGTGATGAGATGAAGGCGTGTAAAATGGTCTCGGTGTCCTTAAAAGTTAACATAGATCGAATTTTAGCTATATTTCTAAGTTGATAAAAACATGATTGAACAAGCTTTGTGGTGTGCTGCTCGAAATTTAAATTACTATCAAACCAAACACCAAGGTTCTTTGCCACAGGCTTAATGTGATTTACTAGGGAACCAGCAGATGGCAGTATTTGATTTGCCATCTGCTGGGACCCGATGACCAGGATTTCTGTTTTGTCTGAGTTCAGCTGGAGGAAATTATTTGACATCCATTTTTTAACTTCACAAAGCCAGTTGTTAAGTGAACTCAGCATTCCAGGGTCTGTGGATCTGACGGGCAAGTATATTTGTGTGTCATCAGCATAAATATGAAAAGAAATGCCATGTTTATGGATAATATGTCCAAGGGGAAGCAGATACAAGGAAAACAAAATGGGTCCTAAGACCGACCCCTGAGGCACACCATATTTAACTGGACAGAACGAAGAGACATATTTGTTTACTGACACGCAAAACTTCCTATTTGACAGGTAGGATGAAAACCATTCTAGAGCAGTACCAGAGATCCCCCCCAGTGCCTCAGTCTGTCTAACATGATGTTGTGATCAATGGTGTCAAAAGCAGCGCTAAGGTCCAGGAGTACAAGGACTGAGCACATACCTTCATCAGCAGACATTAAAAGGTCATTGGTGACTTTAAGCAGGGCAGTCTCAGTGCTGTGGTACTTCCTAAAACCAGACTGAAACTTTTCAAATATTTTGTTATTTTCCAGTACAGTGAGCAGCTGTTTGGACACAATTCTTTCTAGAATCTTTGCAATAAAAGGCAGTTTTGAAATTGGTCTAAAATTTTGTGGGAGGGAGGGATCTAAACCAGGTTTCTTTAAAAGTGGGTTCACGCAAGCCGTTTTAAAATAATCAGGGACACAACCAGTAGATAGGGAGCTGTTAAAAACAGAGATCAAATGGGGCCCAACAGAATCTATTACTTTTAGTAAAAATTTTGTAGGTATTATATCAAGTGGGCCGGAGGACACTCTCATTTGTGATACTGTTTTTAAAAGCTCAGACAAGTCGATGGGATAAAACTGGTTAAAACTCTGTTGTTGCTGGTGAGGGACCTCTGAGTAAGAGGCCACGGGGGTAATAGAGGCTCTGATTGACACCACCTTATTGGTAAAATAAGATAAAAACAATTCACAGTCATCATTACTTTCAGCTGAGGCACAAGGAGGGGTTGGGTTTACCAGCTGATCCACAGTCTTAAACAGAAACCTGGGATTGTGTTTATGTGTAGTAATGAGTTCAGAAAAATAGTGTGTTCTCGCATCCTTAACCATGTTATTGTAGTTAATTAATAAATCCTTCAGACTGAGGTAATGGACTTGGAGATTGGATTTTTTCCATCTGCGCTCTGCTTTCCTGCATTCCCTTTTTAGGCTGCGAATGCTGTCATTTATCCAGGGTTGTTTACTAGCTTTAGACGTAGGCCTAACCTTTAGAGGAGCAGTAATATTTAGTGACGACAAGCAGATATGATTGAAGTGATCGACCAGATTGTTGGTGTTGGAATCAGACAGGTGTTGGCTTTGGCTCTGAAAGACTGCGCAAAACTTTGAAACACTTTGTTCATTAAAGATGCGACAACACACGGAGCTTGGTGAGGCGGCAAGAGTAACAGGCGAATCGCAGCTAAAAACAATACATCTGTGGTCAGATATGGTCATGTCCACTAATTCCACAGAGGAAATGCTGACACCCAGGGTAAAAACCAAGTCCAGTGTATGACCACGGTTATGTTTTTGCCCTTTGACATGTTGTTTGAAGTTAAAAGAAGTGGCCATATTTAAAAAGTCAGTTGCATTAACATTGTTGGGGTCATCAACATGAATATTAAAATCGCCACAAAGAACAATTCTGTCATAATTTAAAACCAGAGTAGATAAAAATTCAGGAAGTTCTGATGACCTTATAGTGAACGCAGGGTGAGTTAACGTTTAGCTTTGGTTTGTCTAACAGCTTGTAAACTTAAGCTCTCAGTGTTAGCTGCTCTTTTAAAAACGCTACATGTTTTTCTGCTGCTGTGTGCGTTGTGTGTCTGCAGACTATTCGTCCACTGCACATGATAACACGTTACGCAGTTTAGTCACCCAACCAGCAAATCTTGTTCATCTTAAATCCAGCAATTCTGAAATTAGTTGTAAAGGTGTCAGAACAGGTGAAACGCTACAGACTCTGTATTTCAGTTGTTGGGCTCATTGCAGTTACTATCACTGTCTTCTAAAGACTTTGTTTTCATGCAATTACCTGTATAACATAAAATCTTGATAATGCACAGTTTGATGGTTTTCAAAGTATTTGCTGTTTTATTTTTTATGAATGAATGGCAATTGTATTTGTAGTTTTTAATATAAAACTCCGACGTTGCCTACCCTAGCTTTAATATAACAAATGTAACATTTCGTACATCAGGACCCATATTTATTTTAAGTTTGCTTGTTGAGCTGTACTATAGTTATTGAGATGCCGCCTCCTAATGGTATGCTATAGAAATCACTACTTTCTCTAAGCAAATATAGGCACTTTGGCTGAGCAGTAGCAGGACAGGAATTTCTGTGTTTTTGTAGTTGGCCTCATTGACTAACTGGTGGAAATATGTTGTTACTGATGATGTATTTTTGCTGTGTTAGGGTTTCAGCGGCTGAGCTTGTGTCCCATCCTGAGCTCGACCCAGATTCAGATGGCTCATTTACAGAAGCAGATGCTCAGGTAAATGTTAATGTGGCGTTCCTATGAAAGCACTGCTGTTAAAGTGGAGTTATGATTAAACGCAAATATTTATACATCTTAAGAAGCTGAACAAATCAAAATGTAAATATTGTCTTTGTTTTGTATAGGGATTGTTGGGTGAAATGGACAGTGTGGACACAGTAGCATTTGAATCTGTTTGGAATAAGATCAAAGAAAAATACATATCAGAGGTAAGAACCTGATTGTTCTTCTAGTAAACTTTGTGTGTGAAAGCCTCTGCTCCTCTAAATGTGTGACTTTCTTGGCGTCAGGCCAGCGTAGACACCTCTGCACCAGTGGAGACTCCCCAGGAAGAGATGAGGGAGCCAGTCGCTGACAATGACTCTGAGCAGTATCCTGAAGATGACATCCCAGAGGAAGAAGAGGAGGAGGAGGATGATGAAGAGGATGATGACGACCCAGATGAGAGAGACTATAAGGTTTGCCCACTAAGTTTCTCCATCAAACTTATGCTGGATGACTCTCAAGTTAATTTGAGTGAGTCACTCTAATTTGTTGTTGTTTGATATGCAGAGTCCACCTACGTTACAAGAAAAGAAGGATGACAATGATGAGGGGACTATGCCACCCTACGATCAAGAAACGCAGAACCTCATTGATGGTGTGTGTGTGTGTGTGTGTGTGAAACTGAGTGACTCAGCCAATCGTCAGCTTTGAGTAAGGGACACTAAGGTGTTAAATACCAGGGGAAAAAAAGCACAGATGTGATAAGCTGAGTTTTGACCAAAGGCCCAAACCTAACTTCCGGCAGACTTCCTCAAACAATCCATAACAAGTAAATAACATTAGCTAGTATGGGCTGCTACAAAACTGCTTGCTCCTCTCTCCCTACCTACTTCCACTCTGTTTGTGCATTCATGTGGATGGTCCGCCACATAGAGTGGCATCCGAAACCAATGAGGGCGGAGTGGTAGTTGGTTGTTAAACCCTCTAATGCTGAGTGAGCACCTATGCCGGCTTGTTGAAGGTGTGTAACACCCTTTGCTGCACGATGGGGGACCTTTCTTTCAATGTGAGTTCCGTGTGACTTCGCCGGTTAACATGTAGCATTTTTAAATTCAGAAACTACACTAACATTTCATATCACCATTCACAGGTTAACAATGTAGCTTAGAGGTTATATTGTGTTTCTAAAAAACAATAACTGACAAACAAACTGTTGTTTGTTTGATACACATATTATAGCAGTGTGTGTAGCGGTAACGTCAGATCCTATTTACGCTGGGGAGAGGGTAGTTCGTCTGAAAGTTGGCCACTGTATTTTTACCCTACGCGGGTTAGTTGGATCAAATACCCCTTTAGGGAGCTCGATTTGGCTGTGAGGGTGACTCAGAGCAGAGTTCACTTTGTGTCGGAGTGGAAGTGGCGGGGGTCTAGTTTCGGAAAGGTTCCCAGTAATAAACAAACGGAACGGAAGTTAACTTTGGGCCGGGCGCATCTCTTGGCAACAGGGTCCGATGAAAGCGTCTATACCCCGGAACTAGGAACCTTTTGGAGGAACTCACTGTGTTTCCACTGAAGGAACAAGGGTCTAAATTTAGTTCTAGGATCTCGGGGGGAGGGGGGCTTGCCATGCAGTTAATTTTTTAATGGGCGAGTAGAGGCTACTGGCTTTAACTGGAGAATGTCGGGTGTTTTTCTACGACTGCTCCGCTCTTTTCCACCTTGTTTGCAAACAAATAAATCACAATCAGTCACAAAAATCACAAAAACAGTCAAATAGCCACACAAGTCTTGCTGATGTCCATTTAAGATCGTATGTCGGCATTAAATGCATTGCTCGGAAATGGTAGCCAGCGTGCAGCGGTGTATTTACAGCGAACAGCTGATGGAGGTAGCCTATGCAAAATACTGGGTCTGGAGTGATTGTTTTAAGTTTTCATCAGTCAGGAAGTTTTTACACGGAACCGAAGTCAGCCTCCTCCCCTCCAAAACAAGCGGAACAGCTGATTACAGCAGGTAATAGGCTGGATAAAAATCCTGTTCCACCGATGCAGGCGGACGCAGACTGGCATATGGCCAGCTGATCTGCAGCTCTTGTCGGCTGGAAATGTTTTAATAACCTTCCAAACTGTCGCAGTTTTATTTTTGTGTTGCTTTCTCTGTGAGTTATTTTTAAGACCTTTATGGCTTTATCCAGTTTGTTATTAAATGTGTAACAAACTTTATCGTGTCTCTCCATCATGCGGCTTTAATGGTCAAGCATAGCCTATAGTTTTTCATTATATTCCAATCAAATCTGATTTTCATTTATAAATTTTGCTCGTGGATAATAGTTACTAAATAATGATGCCTCTGCATCCCTTAGTGTGGCGTATAGGCCTGCAGTCTACGTCAGCAAGTTAATTTGCCTTTAGACCACAGTAGAAACGCACACAACAGTGAACCTTTTAGTTCCTTGAAAAGAGATCCGGGGACTTAAAAGTCCGGTACTTTTGATCGAAACGCGTTTATAATGTGCATATCTATTAGTTTGAATTTTAACATGTTAAGTGAAACTAATCTCTCATTCTGGTTGCTCAAATTAATTATCTGAAGAACAAAGCGATTCATTGAACAGAACTTTTATGTGATAGAGATCTATTGCTTATCTTTTATAAAAGCATCAACATGAAGGCATGATTTGCGCAGCCATTTTATATTTGTGTGTGTATGTAAGCACATTTATATGTATACATGTGTGAATTTGGCTGCGATGGACTGGCACTCTGTCCAGGGTTTACCCTACCTTTCGCCCAATGTCAGCTGGAATTGGGGACGGTTGATGATGAATGAGTAAGTGAGTGTGGCTTTGGACTGAATTTATTTTAAAGTTAAATTTTATTCCCAGCTGCTCAGAAAGCCAGGAGTGAGTTTGATGAAGCTGAGAGAGCTCTCCGGGAAGTGGATGATCAGATCAGGTAAGTACTAAACCTGAATTTGAAGGAGCTTCTTTGCCAACAATACTATCGTTGTTTACAACCATAACCGCAGTATAACCTTCAACTACAATGGATGACTTTTTTGCACAATCAGTGTGTTGTTAGTTGAAGACTGTAAAATTACTTTTTGTATGCAGGAACCTTGAGAAGGAGATATCCTTTGACTTTGGACCCAGTGCTGAGTTTGCTTACCTCTATAGCCAGTGTTACGAGTTGACTACTAGCGAGTATGTGCACACTCTGACTTTGACTCTTGTATTTATTTATTATTATTTGTTACAAGTTCCTACCTCTGAAGGACTAAGTTAATTTCTTTGCTTTCAGGTACATCTACAGGCTATGTCCGTTTAACAGAGTTTCACAGAAACCCAAGTATGGTGGATCAGAAACTAACCTGGGGTAAGAGAATAACGTTTTTTGTTTGCTTGCTTGTTGTATTTTTGCATTTGTGGTGTTTTTTGTGTCCACACTTGACTCGTCATCCCGTACTTTTCATCATGTGTTTTTGTAGAACATGGGGGAAATGGGCAGGTCCTGAGGATAACATCTACTCTGTGATGAAGTATGAACATGGAACAGGGTGTTGGCAAGGCCCTAACAGATCCACCATGGTGAGTTTTCAGTGAGTCAGCCCTGACTTGATATTTTTCTTGACCTGTATTTTTTTTTGCCACATTAATGTTTCTCATTGGACAAATATTAATTTTGGTCTTTCAGGTCAAGTTAACGTGTGGAAAGGAGACGGTGGTGACATCTACCTCAGAGCCCAGTCGTTGTGAGTACCTGATGGAGTTCATCAGCCCTGCTGTCTGCCAGGAGCCCCCAAGCCTAGACTCAGTGATTCATGAGGAGCTCTAGATTTATTTTATTTGTGAGTAACTCTTAACTTTTCTGTGTAAATTGGCAAACCTTAAAAATGAATTGCGATAATCTTGTACTGTATTGTGTGTGTGTGGCACATACAGTATGGACAATATCTTTTTCCCAGTTGGATCTTAAATGTCCACCAATTGGGCCAAGATTGTCTAGAAGAGTCTTGTTTTTTAGCAAAAAAATGTACTGCACCCTAATCATCATTTGTAAATGGTACCTGCACAAGCCCAAAAAATCTGTTTAGCATTTCAACATTTTGTTGCGAAGATAATCCCCAGTGCAGTTACAGCCTCCCTTTAGAAGAAGAGCAGGACAGCAGCAAGAGCAAGGAAATGGCATCTTCATTTTAGTTCATTGTAGTTAATAGGGGATTAAGAATAATGGAATGGTTAGAATTTAATGCAATTTATGGAGACAAATGCATAGTGCAGGCAGTTTAAACTCTAGACTTGTTCAGAGGTTTGTGACAGTTCAGCCTTTTGCAGTTTATTACCAAAAAAGGTCAATGGAAAACATTTCATAATGCATAGCTTGCAATATACTATGTATCATAGAAATGTTTTGTCCGGTGGCTATAGGCAATGTATAGTGATATCATCATATTGTGAGCTTTCTTGCAAAGCCCCGCCCTGATGATATACAGAGTGAATAGATAACAGGTGTAGCTTCCCTTGAAATAAACGAGGACTGTAAAAGACTACTGTAACCTATTTAACTTTTCAGATAGATTTGATGTTTTTAAACTATTATTTAGCTCTATTCTAGTGAAAGTGGAGGTGAGAGTTTTTGGGACAATAGAATTTAAATGTTTGTTTTTTTTTAAATGTGTCAGCATCTAACCCACATATAAGTGCCAACCCCAAAAGTTGATAGGTCACTGGTATTAAATGCTTAGTCCTCGGAAATTAAACCTACAGGGATTCATTGCAACTAAATTTACCTTCCCTTTAACAACTAGGAAACCATGATAAACCATTTAAATGAAGGTGTATGTGTTTGCTCTTGCAGGTTGTTCTTGAGGGACCACAGTCACTGCAGCAACATGAAGTCGCCATGCCATGAGTGGCACCATCTTGGCGTTGATTAACAATCAACAATAAATGATGGAAATTCCAATGAGTAGTTATGTCGTCTACACATCAAATTTCCCCTGCTACCTGTTGTTTTATTTTTCCAAATTCTGTCAAATGTAGTCATTCCATAGTTTTGAAATAAAGTTCATTTTTATCATCTTCCAAACTTGTGTCATTTTAGTATAGCCATTGTGTCATAACTAAGCAATAAATACTGGTGTATAATAAGGTATATGCATTTTTAATTCATAGTTCGTAGTAGTAGCAGCAGTAGTAGTAGTTGAATATACACTGCTCAAAAAAATAAAGGGAACACTTAAACAACACAACGTAACTCCAAGTCAATCACACTCCTGTGAAATCAAACTGTCCACTTAGGAAGCAACACTGATTGACAATCAATTTCACATGCTGTTGTGCAAATGGAATAGACAGCAGGTGGAAATTATAGGCAATTAGCAAGACACCCCCAATAAAGGCGTGGTTCTGCAGGTGGTGACCACAGACCACTTCTCAGTTCCTATGCTTCCTGGCTGATGTTTTGGTCACTTTTGAATGCTGCCGGTGCTTTCACTCTAGTGGTAGCATGAGACGGAGTCTACAACCCACACAAGTGGCTCAGGTAGTGCAGCTCATCCAGGATGGCACATCAATGCGAGCTGTGGCAAGGTTTGCTGTGTCTGTCAGCGTAGTGTCCAGAGCATGAGGCGCTACCAGGAGACAGACCAGTACATCAGGAGATGTGGAGGAGGCCGTAGGAGGGCAACGACCCAGCAGCAGGACCGCTACCTCTGTCTTTGTGCAAGGAGGAGCAGGAGGAGCACTGCCAGAGCCCTGCAAAATGACCTCCAGCAGGCCACAAATGTGCATGTGTCTGCTCAAACGGTCAGAAACCGACTCCATGAGGGTGGTATGAGGGCCCGACGTCCACAGGTGGGGGTTGTGCTTACAGCCCAACACCATGCAGGACGTTTGGCATTTGCCAGAGAACACCAAGATTGGCAAATTCGCCACTGGCGCCCTGTGCTCTTCACAGATGAAAGCAGGTTCACACTGAGCACATGTGACAGACGTGACAGAGTCTGGAGACGCCGTGGAGAACGTTCTGCTGCCTGCAACATCCTCCAGTATGACCGGTTTGGCGGTGGGTCAGTAATGGTGTGGGGTGGCATTTCTTTGGGGGGGCCGCACAGCCCTCCATGTGCTCGCCAGAGGTAGCCTGACTGCCGAGATGAGATCCTCAGACCCCTTGTGAGACCATATGCTGGTGCGGTTGCCACAAATGTGCATGTGTCTGCTCAAACGGTCAGAAACCGACTCCATGAGGGTGGTATGAGGGCTTACAGCCCAACACCATGCAGGACGTTTGGCATTTGCCAGAGAACACCAAGATTGGCAAATTCGCCACTGGCGCCCTGTGCTCTTCACAGATGAAAGCAGGTTCACACTGAGCACATGTGACAGACGTGACAGAGTCTGGAGACGCCGTGGAGAACGTTCTGCTGCCTGCAACATCCTCCAGTATGACCGGTTTGGCGGTGGGTCAGTAATGGTGTGGGGTGGCATTTCTTTGGGGGGGCCGCACAGCCCTCCATGTGCTCGCCAGAGGTAGCCTGACTGCCGAGATGAGATCCTCAGACCCCTTGTGAGACCATATGCTGGTGCGGTTGGCCCTGGGTTCCTCCTAATGCAAGACAACTCTAGACCTCATGTGGCTGGAGTGTGTCAGCAGTTCCTGCAAGAGGAAGGCATTGATGCTATGGACTGACCCTCCCGTTCCCCAGACCTGAATCCAATTGAGCACATCTGGGACATCATGTCTCGCTACATCCACCAACCACAGACTGTCCAGGAGTTGGCGGATGCTTTAGTCCAGGTCTGAGAGGAGATCCCTCAGGAGACCATCCGCCACCTCATCAGGAGCATGTCCAGGCGTTGTAGGGAGGTCATACAGGCACGTGGAGGCCACACACACTACTGAGCCTCATTTTGACTTGTTTTAAGGACATACATCAAAGTTGGATCGGCCTGTAGTGTGGTTTTCCACTTTGATTTTGAGTGTGACTCCAAATCCAGACCTCCATGGGTTGATTAAATTTGATTTCCATTGATAATTTTTTGTGTGATTATGTTGTCAGTACATTCAACTATGTAAAGAAAAGAGTATTTAATGAGATTATTTCATTCATTCAGATCTAGGATGTGTTATTTTAGTTTTCCCTTTATTTTTTTTGAGCAGTGTACTTCTAAAACATAGTGGGAAAATAAAACATTAGGAAGACCTGTGTAGAAAATGCATATTTATGATATTCTTTAAGGCAGTACTATCTTAAGTTCTTTCTTTTATATGCTCCAAACATTTAGCATAGTACTTAGTTGGCATTCATTTTAAGGATATTAAATACATTACATTAAATTTATTAATTTAGCTGCCACCGTTATCCAAAGCAACTTACATGTATATGTCAGTGGTCGCACGCCTCAGGAGCAACTAGGGCTTAAGTGTCTTGCTAAGGGACACATTGGTGTCAGTGGGAATTGAATCCGGGGTCTCTCACACCAAAGGTATGTTTATCCGCTGCTCCATACCCACCGCTAGAGCGTAAAGAAATTTGTTGTATCGCAAGATATTGAAACTTTTCTACGTACCAACCAAACCAGCCTTGGTGAGTGTGAATACATGATGAAAATTATTTTAATATGTTTGATCATAACATAATATTGTTTTTTGACAGTCAATAAAAATTGGGTCACTCAGTATTTGTAACTTTTATTTTATTTTTTTCTGGCATGTAAAGTACAAATAATTAAACAATTCCATGAAAAAGTCTTCAAGCGTCTTCAGCTGAAATCCCAGTAGTAAATATCCTAGACTAAACTGAAAGTTTTTTTTTTTTTCTTTGTTAAATTTGACATTGTTCATTTGGTCGTGTTTGGAAGTATGAGATTTTGTATTTCTTCCACTGGTGTTGGTGTCAGCAGAACTGTTTTGATCATTTTCACGTTTTGATTTGTTCTACCATTCCAGGAAAATGTAAGAAAAACATCACTAAGTTACTGCGTCCCCTCTTCTAAATAAATAGACACAAAATACAGTTGGTTGAGAAACAAAAGGACCACTCACCCCTTTACTACCCTAGATACTCCCAAGAAAACCTTCCTGCAGCTTTTCTGAGCTCTATTATATTTTCCCCGAGCTCTTCCAAATGCATCTTGGCGCAATAGGACATCTTTGTTTCAGTAGCACAAATTGATATTGAAATTGATACAGATGATCTCAGTATTACAATGCTTTTGCAGAAACAAACCCTTTAATATCTTTTTTTTAAATATAAATCAACCCATCAGCATAAACAGGAAAGCATCTTGTGAGCATATCAAACCTAGGACAGCCCCTTTGTTCCTGGCTAATTGCTGGACCCTCCAATGGGCTGAAGCCTCACTACAGGGGTTGTCCCATGTCTCAGGGGTTCATCGAGTGGTTGAAAAAACAAGACTGTGATTAGATTAAATAATTAAAAGATTTTCATTTAACAAGACAAACAGAACACAGGCAGTAAAGGCATAACATCTAGCACACAGCATGTATGTTTATACACTTCAATTAGTTAAATATAGCAGTGCATTCTTTGACTATGGAGAACGTTTCCAAATCGTACTTCTAAAGCTGTTTTTCTATTTGTCCCCCTTTTTAAGAAACGAAATGGTGTAACCACAATTTTGGCAAACTTAAAATCTTTTAAACTTGCAAATATAATGAAATAAACCATAAATATACACAAAACATACTTTGTACGAGGCAATAATAATAATCATAATAAATAGTTTTTAAGTTAACAATAAGTTAAAACTACAAGCTTAAAGTCGCCCAAATAATACAAGTTTGTTGGCGCTATTTTGAATTTTTTCAGTTTAAATTATTTTATGTTGCAACAAAAGCTACCACAGACTTTTACAAACACAATTGAACACAGTTTGATTGAAATAAAAAAATCTAACTAAGTCTAAAATCTGCATACACTGTAAAAACTGCAACTAATTAAATAATGGAAGAAAAATAAACTGTACCCAATCAATGCAACCAAACATAATCTTTGACCCATGTGTGTTCTCTATGGCAACATCAACAACACAAATACGCTAATTTAACAAGTGAGTCTTGATATGTAAATGAAATCAATAAATTACAGGAAAAAAAATTATATTTGAAATTGACATGGGCTAAAACTGATGATATATTAGACAGTATTCCTTTCAGGGTCATTGAGAATTGCTCTATTAAGTCAGCCAAATATGCAGTTGGTTTGAGCTTGCATGGTCAGAGCACAAATTAGAGGCTGAGGAAGTGATAATGGAAATTTATAGATCAGAGCTCTCGTTGCTTGTTTGATTTTCTTAATGAGTCTGTTCATGTAATGTTTTTGTCTGAACTTTTGCTCCTTTCACTATTCCACAAACCTTTTCAGTGTGACGTTTAATTTCTTTTTTAAAAAATATATATCATTTGTTCTCAGTCAATATAAAAACAAAGCACATTGCACTTACTGTTCCATAGGAAAGTTTTTTTGTCTTTTTAAATGATTATTGTTGTTGCTCAAGCAGTGTAGTACTGTTTCCTGCCATGGTCCTTACTGTACATTAGGTGTAGGTCTTTGTATAGACTGTGTTTGGAAGGTCATTTCGGGCTGTGGGTTTGGTTTGTGGGTTGACTGTACTACATCGGACATGGTCGGATAAACAACTCCAGCTGCAGTTCAACGTGGCCTGTTATCTCGTTTGTTCCTAACATCTATCGCTGGTCTCACGAAGTGCTCAATCCTACGGTGGTATCTCTTGCAAATTGCTCGACCCAAAATAGCTAGATTAGACCTTTTTATGTGGTCAGCTGTGGAGCAGCAATTAGACTATTTCGGGGGATGAAACAGTATGAGTCAGATCGAAAGATGCCACAGTAAGTGGTGCAATGTTAACGGTTTTAAAGGATTCAGTTGGTCACAAGACAAAGCAAATGATATAAACGTTGGGGGAAATACATTATATGAATGCATAAAATTTTACTGATTCATCATCATTTAATTTTGATATGCCTTTCTTGTCATTCGGTGTCTGCATGAAATGTGTGCAAATTAATTGCAACTGTTTCATTTTAGCATTTGGTTTAGTGGGTTTAGGATTTACAAATGCAAACTGATATGCGCAACTTAGATATTCAAAAGTAATGATAACTGAAATTGTAGAGGGTCCTTATTCAATAAATAACATAGATTTGTACAGCAATTACTCAGGGAATAATATAGTTAGTCTTAATTTATCCTTCTTGGTACTGACTTGCAAAGCAATTCTTTGGCAAAACATCAAATCTATCTAATCATAAGGAATCATGCTCAGTGTTCATTATGAATCTGCATCACTGTTGGAATCTGCCTTTTACCTTTTTATTTGCAAGCAGCTATTCAGTTTTCCAGCTTGGCAATGAGCCAGTCTCACTGCAGCTTTGTCTGGGATTCTCAAGTCAAAGAACGTCACTTCACTGCACCATCATTGAAGCAACACTGTACACAACTTCAGGACAAGAGATGCGAGTGTGTCTAAACACTCAGAAGTATAGATGTGTCTGTCAGGTTACACCCTGTTATAACTGTTTAATTTTCCTTTTTTTATACATCAAATTTGTTTTTGTTAAGTTTGTTTCACTTATTTTGATGTGGTTGAACGATTAAGTTTGTATGAGATACAATGTTCCTTCGCCCCCTCCCTAAATCCCCACCCATACACCGCATGCTTATTCCCCCTTGCTCTGCAAAGATCAGAGGGTTTAAAATAAAGCCATGCGATGTCCCAATTTTTCCAAGCTTAAGAATCTGTAAAAATTCAGCACAAGGTCTTGTTCCTTTGTATGTATAAAAATAGATTTATCTCTAATGTAATCCTTTCAAAGAGATCGTCCTCTTTGGCTAACACAGCGTCATTTAGAAAAGCAAAAGCAAAAATGTCTTGAATATACTTGACCTTATTTAATCTATTATCATGTGCAAATGTCTTGATATTGAAAGACATTAGCTCTCCCCATGGTACATCTGAAGTCTGGTCTGTTACAGACATTTCAACTAGACAGGTTGGCCTTAATGCTTCATCAAGGGTGCCATAAATAATTTTCATGCATTTGGGTTGGGGATATTTTGAGAAATGCTATTTTTGTGGTAGTGTGAAACAGATCTGAAGCCAATAAATAAATACCTTTCTGTTGTAAACAGAAGTATAATTATGACACTTATTTGCAGGCTTGATGTTGTACGGCCATCTTTTGAGAGGGCACAAGTTCAAAGTTTCTGGGAAACTTTTAAGGGAATAGATGGGCTTTTAATAAAACTGAGGAGCATTTGGCAAAGCTGGAGGAACTGGTAATCTTTCTCCTCAAAGGATCAGTGATAATTTTGACATTGCCAGATATCTTCGCTCACACGTGACTTAAAGTCAGTTTTAATTGTTCAGTCATTTGGAACTGCAGGCCTCATAGTCTGCTCTATGCATGTTGTTACTGTAGAGCCCATGTTGTCCGCTGAATGGTAAAACGTTGACCTAATTCATTCTGGGAGCTTCTATCTGTGCACAGACTGAAGAATAATACCGGTGCTCTTGAGTTTTTGCTCATCTGTGTTATTTCTCTACAGACGTGCTTAGACCATTATTCAGTACACGGGGTGTGTTGTTTGACATTTTCTTCAGAGTTACTTTTTGAAGCTACATTTATCTAAATAAATCTGAAGGCATGACCTGGTCTTGAGTACGGTAACATTCACAATCAAAGCATGTCAGCTAGAATAATAAATAATTTGGGTGTCTTTCACTTCTTATTTGCTTTTTTCTCTTGACCTGGTAACAGCAGGTGGCTTTTCAGCTAAAACGATATCACACCAAATCATGGCTGATAAAGCCATGCAAAGTAAAATGGCCTGTGGATCATGTAAATTACAGGTGGAATGAAAAAATGATGCAAAACTTGATAAAACACCGGTATTTTCCTTTGACGTGGCTGTGTTATGGTGAAACGGTTTTCCCCTTGCACTTGTCACACCTTCGCCCACCAGAGAATTACTAACGAACGCTGTCACCATGGAAGCACTGCCACTCTGCTCTAAGTCCACAGACAGTCTGCTTGCATTGAATCTATCCTGAGGATAGATTAGAAGAGCCTTTTTTTTGTTTTTGTAGACTAAATATGTATATATCCTCTAGTTAATGAACTGTGTTTCTATTTTATATAAGTGTACTATTGTGTTGTTTGGTGTGAGACTGTGAGGGAAAGAGTGATTCTGATGGCTTTCGGACTACTCTTTTCTGTGACCAGTATTGGTTAACCTAAATCTTATTGGGTCTGAGCTAACAAGCTCACATAGGGTAGAGAAACTGCCTTTACGCTAGGCACCACCTAATGCAGGTCAGGAAACAGTAGTCAAAGTTTCTAGAAAATGCTTACATACTCGGCTATTATAACCACCTTAAATATTGAATATATAGTTATATTTTAATAGATGTATATAAGAGAACACTGTTTTTTAATTTCATTTTCTTTGATCTAAAAAAATCGCTGATTCAAAATGCCCAAGTGTAAAAAAGTGACTACATCCTCTCCAGCAAGATAATGGGAGAGATGGTGGGGTAAGAGTTTTGGGTAAATTGCACATATTTGTTCATTTAAAATTTTGATCGTTTTGTTCATCAGTTGTCATTATTTGCCTGAATTCAATCAAAGCGCTCAGTACACATTCTCTGTCACATTCGTTAGACTGTCTCCTAAATAGATAGCTCTTGCTCCTACCCAACAAACCAGCTACGTACCCCTTCTAATTCAATCCAGGCAAATATAGGGAAGGACTAGCATGTTGTGTAAAGAGAAAAGAAAAACTCCACTAGTATGTTTGTTTGAAACTCTGACTTGTGTATGCTTGTGTATGGATATGTTTGGTTATGTGTGTGTGTGTGTATGCGTGTATCTGCATGTCCGTGTGTTTACGATAATATATTATGAATTTGTGTGATAATGTGTCAGAGAGAGACTCAGTCCAGGCCCATGTAGAGTGATGGCACAGGGAGCTCAGGTTGCTCTCCCTGCAGATCGAAGGAGCTGGTGCCAGCAGCCTCTCTCTCAGGCCTTGTGCTGCTTGCTGGTCTTGAAGGAAACCTGCAGCACGCGGTCACCCAGGCGGTAGCCATTAAGGCTAGCAATAGCCATGGCGGCTTCATCGTAGTTGGTCATGGTGACAAAGCCAAAGCCCTTACATTTGTTGGTGGTGAAGTCACGGATGACCTTGACGTTGGTGACAGCGCCGAAGGGCCCGAAGAGCTGCCACAGGACGCTCTCGTCCGCCTCGGGGGACAGGTTGTATACAAAGATGCACCAGCCGGCTCCAGTTGGACCAGTAAGGTTGACCCCAGCCAGGCTGGTCATGCTGTCAATGGTGATGGGGGAGAATCTGGGGAAGAGAGTAGGAGAACTACCATGGGTGTCATTCTGAAGTTCGACACAGAATTCAGTACTCTATACTGTCTCTTATGGGCATGTTTCTCTGTGAGAAATGATAAAAGATTGTAGTCGGGTATGGAGTCGGGGGACCCCATCTCCATCCCATCTGCTGTACAGTAAGTAGATAAATATGTGTGGGCACCACAGTGGCTCCAAACTACTTGCTTTCATACAGATGACACCATGTGCCCTGAGACACACACACCCACACAATATGCATATTTTCTCATTTTCTCTGCTGACCAAAGCCTCTGGAAGAATTAAACACATGAATCACAATGTTCAAAAAAAATCACAGTATTGAACAAAACACAGAAACCTAGAGAGGGATGAAAAGCAAATTGGAATCAAATCATACACAAACTGGAGCAAACAGAGGAGACGCAAACGGAATCTGGTATGTCCATGCTGGTGAAAAAAAGGGGACATTAAAGCAACTGAAACTGACAATGTTAGTTCATAAATAAATACAGATAAATTATTTCTATTAATTAAAAGAAAAGAACGAAAAGGTTAAACAAAGCCATGCCAGAATACCCTGCTTTCAGAAGGCTGCGTCATTGCTTATTGCAGTTACAGATAGTATTTTCTTGTCTGGGCTGCTTCTGTAACATGGGTAAATGGGCAGTGGGCATTAAGAATTATGGCCATTATATCTGATTTCAAGATGAAGTCAGCAGGTGGTATTCCAGGCACTTTGTTTGAGGTTTTATTTTGGCATGGATGCTTTTGAAAGTACACCTTTGGCATTTACCTCTTGACTCCGTAGCTGGCGTTTAGTAAATTGTCGAGTCTGCAACGCAAGAGGGAGAATGAAGGGGATGCAGAAGTTAGTTATGAGATCTACAAGGAAGGGGGGCTTTCAGTTAACATGTTGCTCCTTCACCAGCTGGCCTCCAGAGGGCATCCTTCACTGCAACGCTGTCCCAAACCATCCAACCACAAACTGATGGTGCAAAATAGTCCTGTGTCTCAGCTGGTATTTATTGTTCATTGTTGCTGTTTAAGCTCAAATAGATTCTCCTTTAATAGTTTAAATATAACATAAACAAGGCCTGTATCCAAGGTCATTTCACATGTACTTATTAAAAAATATCCATACTAAGTGAGTATTCCAACCTGAGAGGGTATCTACAGGGTATCTACAGTTGTTAGTGAGGCTCCATGAAAATATTTAATACTGGAAACCTTTGACTTTCAAACTATTTGAACCTTTCAAAATTACCCATGTAGATGTGGCCAACATCTCACAATTGCACTCTTGATGATGCCTATAATGCCTATTGTAGTATAGGCAATATTTGAAGGTTCAGTTTTATTCATCTTAAACCACGTTTTATTTACCTTTAGTTTTTTATTAGATTTGGAAAAATCTGGTCTCTTACATTGGTTTTGAGCTGTTATTTGGATCTGGTCCCTTTCCAAGTGAAGGGATCATGCTGCAGTTTAAAAGAAAGTCAGAGAAAAAGAGTGAGAAGGAGGGACAATACAGTATTGCCAAATCCTTCTGTAATATAAAGCAATAATTTTGCTTAAAGGAACAGTTTATTCATAAGGTGTGTTGATATTGACAACGTTTTGTTTTCGATACACATTTTTTATTATATTCCTTATAATAAAACTACACCACATTTGCTGTTTTTGGGGTGTGCCACTTCATCTGATTTCCCTTGTATATTTACTCTTAGCTATTCTCTGGTCTAGCTGAGGCTTGATAATTGTCACAAAAACCTTTTAGTGACTTGACTTTGAAGAAATCAAAGTCAAATCTTGAAGATTTGGTCTGATAACAATAGCTTTTTACAGACTATCTAGTGATTAACTCGCAGGTGGTGTGAGGTTGGTAAAGGTTCAGTACCTGAAACGCTGAGTCTGGTGGTGCAGGGGCCCCGTGTAGCGGCGGGCAGCAGTCTGGTACAGCTGAGTCAGTAAGGCCTGGCCTGTCTTCTGGCTGGGGTTGTTGGCGAACTTGACAGTGATGGGCTCGGCGGCACCCAAAGGCTTCTGTCCATTCAGACCTTTGATGGCTTCCTCTGCCTCGTTCCGCTTGTCAAACCGGATGAAGCCCACTCCGCGTGATATGCCTGCTCCGAATAAGAAAACAGACCAATGTTACTACCTTGGCATCACGGACTGTTGCTGTCTACCAGTCATTTGGAGAAATGGTGCTTGAGTGACAGCATGAGAAGTGAAATAAGGCTATACCTGTGACTTGGTCCACTAGGATGCGGGATGTGATGATGCGACCATATTGGGAGAACAGCTGTTCCATGTCCTTCTGGCTCATGGTTTTGGGGAGTCCACTCACGTAAAGGTTTGCATCACGAATAGATGCTGAGCTTGGCCGGGCATATGATACCTATAACAACAAAAATCAATCAGTCAATTTTATTTAAAGTGTAAAATCACAATATGAAAACACTTTACAATTTAAAGAATGCACGGGTCAAACAACAATATTTAACAATATTGTTGGAGATGATGAAAGGTTGTCTCGCTAATCTCTCCAAGATTTTTGATGGTCAAGCTTTCAGAGATAACACAGCCATCAATGTTCACACTGAAATTCTTATACAGATGCCCATGTTTGGCTGGTCTAACTAGTTCTGTTTTATCAGTATTCATCAGCAGAAAGTTCATACCCATCTATTTTAAAATTTCAGGTAGAAATGCCTCTAAATTTCGGAGTTTGAAGGTCATTTGGCTTTACAGATACATATAGCTGTGTATCATCAGCATAGCAATAAAAATGAATACCACATTCGCAAACGATGTTACCAAGAGGAAGCACATAGAAAAGAGCATAGGGCCAAGGTCCATCCCTGGGGTACACCAAACTTTACTGCAGAGAATTCAGACATTGTATTATTGTAACTCACACATTGAGTTATATTTAATAGAAATGAATGACACCATAAAATCAATAATTATGTTTATGTACCCCCAAATCACAACTGTGTCTCGAAAGAAAATGGAGAAAATCAAACAGGCCAATGTAAGGAACATGTTAAAAAGACCTGATGAAACTGAACTGAAGTTCCCAACAAGTTCCCAACAAATTGTTTTCATATTGACTCATGATTTCTCCTCATTCGCCAACTCAAAACAGCCAACTGACTCTTTTCTGTGTACTTGATCTGTGCCTTTAAGCTCACACTCACCCATAATGAGAACATCACAGACACACTATCATGACTATAACCATTACCAAAACTGATACCAATCATTAGTGATGAGTGTCAGCTTTGTTTTCCACAGAAAAACATCAGCCTCAGTTGATGTATATTTCTGAATCCACTGGTGACTTAATTAGTGCCCAACCATTTTTGATGTGTCTGTGTATTCCTTATGGTTTTATGTTGTTCTAGTTTCAGGACATTTTACATCTAGTGCTGTAGAGGAATATCTGAAAAAGTCATACAGATATTGTTGTTTCTCTGTTTTTGGGAGCGTATTGAGCACATGTGTGATAGATAATCCAGTTCAGTGCATTGTTGGCAGTGCTATGTTTGTGTGTGTGATGGAGAGACAGTGAGAGTGTTGTCTGAGATAGGCTAAGCTGCCCTCCCTGTCCTGCCTCCTTCTTTTGTCCCTAGCCTCTGGGGGAGAACAGCTCCACTGGCAAACAGCAAACAATGTAAGTGCATCACAAGACTTGCAGGATCCTTGGCAACTTATAAACACACACACACACACACACGCACACACACTATTTATATCTATATGTATTTGTATGACAAATATAAATGTTAATTCTATTAATGTTTAGAAATATTTGTAGCATTGACATTGATTTTGCTTCTTGCGCCGTTGTGAAGAAAGCTGTGTTGCAGATTAAAATGACTCATATTATCTTTCAAATGAATACAGGTGTTCTGATTTCATCCATCAGTATTAAGCACCAGTGTCTATTGTGTACACAGACAGACTGTATGAGCAGGAGGGTTGTGTGGTGCAGTGATTAGGGTGTTCTGGACAAGTCAGGGGGGAGTTGCAGTGTTCGGGGAGCAGAGGCTGCCCTATAATTAACCCTCTCCCTCTCGCTCCTACAGTACAGATGGTGCCTGAAGCCCATATGGCCTCTAATCCTGTCATTGGCATTCTGCTCTCTAAGCTACCCCCCACCCTGCTACTACTGCCCCCTCCCTCACCGCCTCAACCCTGTCTATTAAAGCCTCCTGCAAAATCAGAAAGATAAGACTATGGTACCAGAGGAGTTTTTTTTTTTTATTTGAGAATAAATGTTAAGAGGTTAGTTAAAGACAGAGTGATCTATGTATAGATAATTCAAATAATAAATGAATGTCATAACACAAGTTCAACAATATAACATAATAATTATCTTGATAATAAACATTTTTTCTACATGGTTCCAGTAATTTCAATCTTGTGTATACTGTTATGTGACTTTAAACGCAGGCATGCAGGTGTTTGTTCTTTCAAAAAGGAACCAAATCCAGTACTCAACTTTTCCTGCTTGTAGCTCGTTGTTTGATCAGTCATTAGTCAGAATTAATGTCCCTATTCATGGACAGCTGTTGGAAGATCACCTGCTCTGCTCTCTCACAGATTCGATTTCTCAATCCTGCAGTTTGTCTCAATCTTTGATCTACTTTGATCAGGTTGGGGGGAATGGAAGGAAGTAGTGTTTAATAATATTCCCTCTCTTTCCATACAAAGAAGCCCCCTAATTAGCCTAGATTGGAGGCAGATGGGGTAACCTGGACTGACCCTTGTGCACCGCAGTCAGCCTTCCTAATTACATTTCCATCACAATAACCCCTGCATGCTGTCCGCCCCTTGCTTTCTGACCTCCACTCACCTCTTTTAACCCTTTCTCTCACTCTCTTTGTTCTAGCCACTGCTCCCTTCTGTGTCCTCCTCCCCATTTTCCTCCCCTCCCTCTGTCACGTCTGCCACCACCTCTCTCACAACCCCCCCTTGACAAAATCCCCACTTCCTTTTTTATTTTTGTCCAGCACATCGTCAGGAATCAAAGAATTAAGAGTGAATATTGTAGAAAGTAGAAGTCTGCTCACCTTGATTGTTTTAGTCTGCAGTTTAAGACCATTGAGCGTGTTGATGGCCTTATCTGCATCATTTGGATCCACATAGTTTACAAAGCCATATCCCAAACTCTGTCCTGGAGACAAAGAAAGAGCCATAGTGGTGTGAGTGATTCTCAAAACCAGTTGTAGTGAAAATATTTTTGTTCAACGTGGACAAAGTGTTGTACCTGTTATCTTGTCTCTGACTAGCTTGCAAGACTCAATCTCTCCAATGCTACCAAACAAACTTTTGAACTCTTCCTGGGTCATGTTCTGAGGCAGATAGTTGACGATCAGGTTGGTTTTGCTGTCATCTGTGGAGCCATTGGTGCTAATGACTGGACCATTAGGCAGACTGGTTCCGCTTGGACCGTTGGACACCTGGGTTTCCATGGTGCTGATTATCTGCTGAGGAAGAGGGTGGAGTTAGATTCATAATTCACAAAGAGACACAATAGGACACAGCGGTGATATGGTTGTATAAATGTTCATGTGCTAATATTTAACATACATGTACAAATTATTATGCACACAACCACACACAGCCTACTGTCAGAGGTAAAGGTCAGGAATCAGCAATGCTAAAATGGAGATGGATACAAAGTCTGATTTATCATCCCCCCTCCCCCACTTTGACCCAATCTTTCCTCCTCTCTCGCTCCCTGCCTCTGGTCCTGCAGATGTCACAGTCCCTTTTTCCTTACTTCTCCCCTCCCCCTACTCTCTTCCAGGGTCAAACACCATTACATCATTACACAGGGATGGATAATAGTGAGGTTGATGTGTGAGGCTGGCAAGAGGCTGGGGGAGTTAGGAGTGGCAGGGGTCGCGATGACGGACAAAAGGGAGAGTGACAATGTTAAACGGATTTTGTGCTACTATAAATGAGGAATATCATGATTTGCTTGAAAAATAATTTAGGATTACACGTTTGTTCTTCTGACTTTGTTTAGGTTTCTTTGTGGTAAACTGACATTTATTTTTTTAAGGTTGTGGGCTAATGCACAGTCAATAGTGTTTGTGTCTCCTGTGTTCCTCTGGAGTAACACAGTGTTGCTTAATTTGATCCACAGGAGATTCTCAAGGAACATCTGTGTGGTCAGAACCAAAAAAATTCCCTTTTTTCGCACCTAACACCTTGTTCTCTATATTGGAATCATTATATCCAGTGTAAATCTACATGGAAAGTCACTGCAATATCAACAAATTTCAAGTTAAATAGTATGTGGTGTCGTCGCTTAGTGTGATGCTGATGTTATGTAGCTGCACTGCTATTTGATATAGAAAAATATAATATATAATATCCTAGGGGTATGTACTGAAAACCTGCAGCAGTTTCAGGCTTACTATCAACAATTTAATTTTACATCTATTTTATGATGCACATATTAAATAAAATGGCATACATTTTATCCATTTGCATCTGTGTTATTTTCATGTTCACACATCATTAGATTTAATATTTGATTTATTGCACTTGTCAAAGTAAATAATTGGGCATGCTTAGAGTTAAGGTCTCCTTGTTGACACATGCAACTAAAATTAGCCTCTATAACATAACCATGTGTGTGCATTTGCAGTACATTTTGCAGTTTTGCATTTGCTTTGATGCAGTTCAATGTCTGTATTCCTTTTCACAAACATAAGTGTAAGGTACAGTACAGTGTGCTAGTAGTGCTGAAATGTAAATGATGTCAGATTGTGGGTTTGAGCTCTTGCAGATCTCTAACTGGTGGGTGTTAGGAATGTCAATAAGGCTAAATGAGTCTCCTCTAGAGCTCTTGGGATCTTACAATGTAGAAGAATCTTTATATTATAAACATATTTATATATAAGAAACAATTATATTCAGGGAATTTCCTGACCTGATGGAGAAATATGGTCACTGAAACATAAAAATTATTATAATTATAACAGAAGTATTTACCTGGCAATTAAACCTTATGGCTTTTTGGATTATGTCCTTTAATCATGCATAACTAACTTTGTTTTAATTCCCAAAAGAGGGGTGAATTTATGCTCCCTTAAGTCTTTTTCTTTATTGGTAACCAAGGAATGATCACAGACAGGATGAAAGTTATTGACACAGATGAGGAGTTTCTGTCAGGTGGTTCATTTCATTCACTGCACACAAATTTATATAAATTTAGCAGCGTTTTGTGTTTTGTACAGGCTCAGTTTCTGCGTTATCACCATATTACTGGAAGAATTCACATTCATTTGTGCCTCCAAATCTACGTGCCAGTTCATGTGCTCTCTCTTCTTTTCTAGTGTCTTTGAATGAGTCTGTCTAACCTCCCCCTCGTCTCTGTAACCTGCTGTCTCGCTTTGAGCCTCACCTCCACTCAGGTTGCCCAGGTAACAGTCCCTCAAAGACTGCATTGTTTCTAATGGCTGAATGGCTTTCTTACTTCAAGCTCTGTGTGTGTTTGTGTCTGCGCTTATTAGGAGCAGATATACAGGTCAGACATTTTTCCTCCGTGAATAAATATTATAAGGCTTTGCAGGAGCAGGGAATATCAGTAAGACAAATTGATAATGACAAGGGGGGAAAGGAGCACAGTGGCACTGTTAAGTCTAAAAATAAAATACTTCAGACATACATCTACGCACAAAGGCAGTGCAACATAGCTAGCAATCTGTCACGTTAAGATTCTGATGCACAGCTAAAATGCCTGCTTACTATCTTTTTCATGCCATTATGAATTATCATGGGATTATCAAATGTTGACCAAACAAAACGTGGAATCAAGCTGTTATGCTGTATTCACTGTAACATTAACCAGTGAATTGTAGTGTGATGTGATACACCTGAATAACAGAGTTATGAGCAACCAAACATGTCCCAAATATGGCAAAAAGCATTTTGATGGAAGTACAAGAACATATCCGGGCAAATTTGACTCGCCAACTGAAATAACCCTCAGCGTGGCATAACACACATCCCCAGTGAACAGTGTGAAGTTATATAATTCAGAGACCCACTGAATATGGCCTGGGCACTGAGATTGGCTGACACAAGCAGCAACTAAGATTAAGATGTTCATAGAGAAACAGAGGGGAACAGCATGCTTTGAAGATATTTGAAACAAATAGAAAAGATAATACCCACTGACGATTGTTTCATCTTTATGTCATTTTTTATGTTGTACACCAACAAAGAAAATCTAATTGTCTAGAGTTTGGTTTGCAGTAACCCAATTACTGTGACAAAGAGACTGAATCAGTGTGTGTTGTAAGAAGACCTGTTATGCATGCCCAGTATATATTTACTCCAGCTATAGGCTCCAGACATTTTCAACTACTGGAGACAATAAAAACGTTCACTACAGGGGTACCTTTGCCCCGTATAATTGCCTCTTCTCTCTCAGCGTATTTCATGTTAACTATCTAATAAGGACGAAAACATGAGATTATGATAATCTTTTAAAAATCTTATTTTAAGATTTACCAAAGATTCCAGTTGTTAGGGTAGCACTACACTGCTTTTTTTCTATTTAGGGGTTCTGTGAGATCTCCCTTAATATTTAATGTACTGCATCAGCATCGCCCACACATGGTCCCAGACTTGCACGCAAACAAGAGCCCTGCCTCCTCTGCCAAACACATGAACCCAGACTTGCACGCAAACAAGAGCTCTGCCTCCACTGCCAAGCACCCATACCACCTACACTGTACACAATTAAATTACAAAACACAGAAGCATTGCATGAGTAAATGTAAAGTCAGTCGGAGTTCTCTGTCTTCTGATGCCTATACAGCTTTCTCAATTCATTTCTGCTCCAAATGCAGCACAGCACTGGAGGCTATAATGTACAGAAGAATAAGAGTTTCCCAGTTTGAGTCGTAACATGATATTTGCCACATTACATGTTACAATGCACTAAGAATCACCAGAGATTATCTTCAAAATGTGAAATATAACAAGAGAGACAATGACACGTCACCATCGGTATTTTGTTTTGCGATAAAGTGCCAGCAAAAAATGAATTAAGCTATGTGTTTGGGAATTTTAGGCTCAGTGTAGATTTAAATTAAATTGCTGTATAAGAGTAATAGCCTACATGTATTTCTCTCTGTGTAGACAAAACTATTTATAATCATCAATAAAGATGAACACTTCAGAAATCCACCTGAATATGTTCAAGTGACAATTATAATAATTATAAGAACAATAATTTCTCCTTTTAAAATATAACCTTGTCTCTAGCACACATTATATTGCATTACATAAATACCTTTTTTTTCTGAAAGGCATGAATCTTAACTGAATGCTAGGCTGAAGTGTAAATGAGCCTTCTAAATAACACAGATTACAGGATTATCCCAAACAAAGGGCATTAGCCACACTCTCTGCAGCTTAAGGGATCATGGTGGCAGCTGTAAAACAACAGGACGACAGGAGTCACAGCTCATGTCAGCCATGAACTGACGCTCCATCCTATTCTCCGCTCCGCAGACTAAAAATAAAAGATTTGTAAAAGATTTCCCTGAGTGTGTGCTGCTTTGATAAGATGGGAGCAGACAACGTCAAAGGCTCGGGGAGACAAATCTGTCCTGCAAGTCCTTGTAGCATGCGGGGCGCTATCCAGCGTGCTGAAAAAGGGAGTGGCTTTCGGACGGTCTCATGTGAAGCCACAGAGGCCCATAATCCAGCAAAGACCACCATTTCGACTTAATTTTATATTTTATTAACTTTGAAAACGTTTTAATTCGAGTAATTAAGAGAGAGGTCCAATATACGGCTACTTAAATATGACAGGTGCATCATACAATCCCTCGATTTCTTCGTTTCTCTTATTTAGACCCCTTTTTTAAAAGGCAAGACTTGTGAGCTCTGCAGGCATTCATGAACCAGAGCGCCTTTTTGCTGAATAAACGTATTGAAACGACCAAACAAAAGAGCCACCCGTTCCTCCTCTTCTCCCTCGCAGAGGCTATGGCAGCACTATGAATATTAATGTAAACAGTGGCGCTTTGTGTCGTGGCCAGGGGCTGCAGGACTCTCCGGGAACAATGACTGTTACAGTCGCCAGCTACAAGTCAAAAACGCCATGATAGGTCAAATAAAAAATCGCAATCTGAAATAATTATTTGCTACTTTGGATCGTTTTCTCACAGAATTACTATTAGTCATGCGTTTAGCGATTGTTGTAATAAAAAAGCATGGGTAAACTCGCGTTAACTCTGCCAGCATTGGCGAAGTCTATTTAAGGCGACTGGCCACTATAATTCTCACAAAATGATCAATCAATTTTAACGCCAGTTTTACGTGCCCTGTACAGTGAAATTATATGAGCCATAGGCTACGTTTTGCCTAAAAACGTGATTGTAAGAAAAAGCAGTCTCTGAGATGTACATTCTATTTCTTCCCCACAGGCTTTATGTTTGTTGCTGATAATTAGGCCTACATGAAGTCATTGGCAACAGCAGGGATATCACCGCTTACATAACATAATAGCATTTACATGAGTTAGACAGGCCATGTCTTAACTGTAAAAATCTAACACAACTTAATTGTTGTTTCTTGGACAGAGACTAAAAATGTCCAGTGCCCTTTGAAATCATCAGCCAAAAGGATTTACATTTAATTCTGTATCGTCCGAGCATTTTTAACTTAACATCAAACTACTGTTAGGACTGGTTTACAGTGAGGGCCTCGGTTGCCCTTGTCCTTGAATTGTGTAAGTGCCTTGGATAGGTTATCTGACTCAACGCTTTTATTTGCTTGGCACTGCGGTACAGGCACGGGGGACTGCGGACCATGTGGAGGGGTGCTACAGCCTCTGTCAGTGTGATTCTGTCTCGGCCTGCAAGGGACAATAGGTAGCCTAACGTAGGCCTACAACAAAGAGAAAATAAAATTGAAAGTGGAAATATGTCAAGGACGGTTCGAGCCTCACAGGTGATGTCCACCTCCATTTTGCGTAATTCTCCGAAGCAATATTCGTACCTTTTCAAATTCAATGAAAAGAGATCTTAAAGCTCGATCTCCCACATCCTGTTCATTCTATGTGTTGAATAATTAATTTTGTGTTCCTACTATTAGTCATAGACTGAACAGCCTCACAGTTTATCATGTGTAGATACAATCACAATTTTAACTGCTAATTTCAAATACCCCACCCCTCCTAGTTTACTAGGCTAGTTTACGGATTTTTTTAATAGCCTACGTCACTTTTAAAAACAGGTGGTGTTACACCTGCATGTGCAAGGTTGGACCGAGTAGCATCCACGCTGATTGTTGGTTTCTTATTCATTTCCTGGCTTCTATAATTTAATGGCAATGTTTCTGGTCTTAATTGGTCTGCTTAGATAAGCGATCTGCTGTCAAGAGGTAAAGCGGAGTAGGCCTTTTGAGGCTTCAAGGCCCTCGTTTGGTGCTTAAGTGCAACAGAGACACGCCCAGTCCGGCCGTCGGCTCGGGGGCGGCGAAGGTAATTTATCACCGCTTACATCTCCCTATATCCGACAACTCCCATGCAAGTATGGCCATTTTGTACGTATGCGATGTGATACTTGGAGAAAATGCGCTTAAAATGGAGAAGTCCGTGCGTGTCCTTACTGTCGCGGCCTCAGAGATTTCCAGCCCATTTACTCGGTTGCATCGCAACGAGAACCCTGAGGAATTTGGACTTTGTCTGATTCAATGCAAACCGATGGATGCGTAATTTCCCTCCTCCCCCTCCCCCTCCCAGAGTGACTCGACCCTTTTTTCCCTTTGCCTTGCTGGATGGGCCCTCAGCCTCCGAGGCATCATGTTTTGTCTCAGAAACCCGTCTCCAGCATCCTTGTGCTGCACCAGGCAAAGAAAACAAGTCCTTCCCCCACTGAACCGAGCGCCTCACCGCCTTTCTCCCTTTCCATCACTGTAGTCCTGCGGAATTCCTAAATCTTGACTCCTGCATCGTTCAGGAAATATAATCAAAGCTGCGACATTTAGGCTAGGCAGTCGGAGTGGACGTGATACAACAATGTAAAGGCTGTGGTGTCTAAAATGGCAGGATTTAGACTTTATCCATCGTTGATGATGACTGCAGGCTGGAGCTCATCCGGCATGGCGCATCACTCAGCATGAGATTGCTAATTGCCACTATCGATCGTTAATGTTATCATAATAATATGGCAGTGCATATTTCACTATAACATAGGAAACTAACCCCAAAGCCCCTCTATGTTTTGGCATGTGGGTATAGCCATTGAGCTCCATTTTAAATTACATTTGTCTGCATTAAAGATATATCAGTAAGATGTGAAATAAATCTGAGTATGTCTACATCACATGTGTACATGTAGTGGATAACAAATACAACATAAAGGGACTGAGATACAATCTAGGCATGCTGCTACAACATCCCCTCCACAAATGTAAGATAAATAGAGTCATACGTACAGTAACCATTCTTGACGTACAATGAAAGAAATCTAGGTCCTTCTTTGCACTGGTCTTGAAGCTGAGTCTCTGTATGCTCTTCGGCCTCAAATTAAATGGCCCTTATGTTTTGTTAGGAGTCCAAATTAAAAGAAAAAAAAAAGAAAAAAAGGAAAAAAATACAATCTTCGCCAGGGAATCTCAGCCCTCTGAGATTGTAGGTGTCCTCTATAGGTTGAAAATGAGGAGAAAGGGGTTTTCTACTAGATGATGATGAGGGAGAGCGTTCTCTCCGAGTGGCGTGGGCGATGGTTCAGAAAAAAGAGAAGCAGTGATCCTCAGCAGGGTGTGTCCAGGGGAGGGTGTTCTGGTTCTGCTGTTTTTATGTGTAATTCCCTGCTCCTCTCGCAGTCTCCTTCTGTGCCTCTGCTGCAATGTTCTTCTTTTATGCGTCCTCCTGGCTGGCAGAGCGCGCTGCTGATTGGCTAATTGTGCAGGGAGGGTAGTACATGGCAGCCATTGCAATGCGCTCCTCTCCCATTATCCCCTTCAGGAGAGATCACCACGAGTCCCCCCCCCCCCACACACACACACCCCACACCCCCACAACACCCCACCCTCCCCCTTCCATCCCTGCCCTTCCATCTTTCCACTCCCTTTTTCTCACTCCCCTTCCTTTCTTCCTGCCCCCCTCTTCACACACGCAGAGCGGAGTGAATAGGCCTCCACCTGCACTTTTAGAACAGATGGGTGCAGCAGAAGACAGCAGACTTGTCTCTCCCCTTCCCCACACTTTGCACTCACTTCTCCTTCAGCACAACCCCTTCCTTTCTCTCTTATTCTCCATTTAGGCCTGTTTGAGACCATAGCAAACAACTTCACGCCTTAGGCCTTTGTCTTTGCAAATAAAAGCAATTTTGAGTGTAGACCAGCAGACTTTCTGAGTCCATATTCTCGGCTGATAATCAGAGAATTAAAGCAGTGGTGGGGGGGGACATAAAATATGCAATAATTGGGAGTGAATTGTGGCTAGAAACAAAGAATTAAATCCATAATACCACTAATGATTTGTGAACCTCTCATATGCAAGGCAGATGGCTAGCTATAGGGTCAGGTGCAGACATGAAAATAACAAATTAGATGCCCCCTGAATAAATTCATGTCTATTCAGTGAAAAGTTGAGAAAGGTGCAGTTGTAGCTCTGATCAGGCTATGCTGAATGATCTCTTTTCTTTGCTTTATGAACAGAAACGTGGCCAGCAGTGATTTTTGTCTTACTTTACGACATCCCAGTATCCCCTTCCTGAGGAGTTCTCATCCCTCTCTGCCCACCTCCTGCTGCTCCCTCCTGTGTCTAGCTGTGTGGTGAGTGCTCACTGAGACATGCTGTTTGAGCTCATCTATAATGCATCCCCTGCCCCGGGACATTATGTGTGACAAATGACCTATTTCTGTGCAGACCCCCATAGGGCCTTGACCTGGGGGTGGGGGGGGGGTGGGGGGGGGGGGGGGTATGCTTGCAAGTGTGCGTAAATCAGTGTATGTTTGTTTATTTGAGTCTAGTGTCGCTGTATATGTGAGGAAGTGAGATAGTGACGAGAAGAAGGTGGAGGGCTTTATAGATAATTAATGGCTCCTGTGTGTGTTTTTTATATCTCTGTGAGTGGACAAGTGGTGCTGATGTGAGCCCTCCTGCAACAACAATCACTCTTTCCATTGGTCTCCCTACCTGACCTTGAGGAGTCCTCAGACGTCTCTGGCTGTAAGGAGTGATGGGGGAGGAAATTGTTTGCATTATTGACACTGACCACTTCCCTTTGATACATCTGTGGATGGATGTCAGTCTATACTAAGATGAACATATAGAACTTGAGATGCAAGTAACAAATTTCCTCGATCTGTATGTCTCGTATTGTTTCTCCCACCGTCCACTCGCTCCTTCCCAGTTCCTGTTGTATACCCCCTCCTTCTCTCTGTCATTGTCCTGCAGCTCTCTTCCAGTCAGATTTTGAACATGGGCCATGTCTGATATTTTACATAATTACCTTACATAAGTAGCAAGCTCGGCTCAGAGCTTGGATGATATTAGTGGAGATGAATATTGCATGAGGAAAGCACTCGTTAAGCGTTAATAAGAGGATAGAGATGGAGCCCCACTGTCAGTCTGTCTTAACCCCACCCCCACCGTTCTGTCAAGCAGTGACTCAACGCAGCCTGGATGCGTTGGAGCCTTTGAGTCAGTTTGTCAGAGAGGGAGGACGAGTGTATGTCTATGTGTGCATGCGCACACGTGTGTGTGTGTTTCTGCCGGTGTGTATGAACGTCTGAAAAGAGACAGCGAGATTCTGTCATTAGGTGCTTGTGTTTTTCCCGTCTTTGTTTGCCGAATAAAAGCGGCTCTTGTAACACAAAGGCGCCCAGGTCCGTCAACTGACTGCAGCCCCACTTACAGTTCACACTTAATGTGAATAAATGGGCTTAATTGTGGCCCCTCATTAGAGCTCTGGTTAGTAGCACGGCAGCTGAATCCTCCCTGTGGGTAAGAGGGCATTTGAAGCGCCTATTGTACATTACTGAATCAAAGGATCAAGCATTGGTTTTGCCTAAAAGGCTTTTTGTTATTCTACTGATTATTTTCTTATTGTTAAGTGTCCCTCTACTAGTGGTGATTAGGGGTCTTGTTGCAGTGGTCCTTTTCTCTTGGTATATCATGGAATGCTCCTCGGTGCCAAAGGGATGAACTCTAAGCATTTACAAAATTAGTTTACTGATTTTGAAGTTCATCAGCCCTCAGACAAAACATACTACGCACTGCTAACTATGCAATTATCACAGAAAATACAGTAGTGGGAGCAGAAACAGGCATACGTTTTAAACAGCAGTTTGTCTCTACAGCACTACTGGAACAGAAAGAATATGCCATGTGAATTACAAATGTATTATATATTTGAACTTTGAATAGTAAATATATAATGATACTTAACTCTGTAAATTGCAAAAACCCTTCAGGTATGAATTCCTTAGCCTAGCTTTTTCTGTTTCTCATCTCTATTATTCTTGTAGTATTACGTCAAAATGAATGCCTGTTGCCATTGCCCTGCGGTAAGGTAGTGGCCTTGTGTGTGTGTGTGTGGTGTGTGTGTGTGTGTATGTGAGAGAGAGAGAAGGAGAGGATGAGAGAGTGACACTATGACAGTGTTAGGGGGGATGGGTAGGATGATTCAGCCTCAGGTCTGGTTAATTCTTCGGTCTCTCCACTAGGCCTGGCTCTTGGCAATTCAGGGTTTTGTGGCAGCAGCAGCAGCAGCAGCAGTGAAGCAGTTATTGCTTTCAGGAAAGGATCCAAAATTAAATTAGCCTCTTTTTAGAAGGACATTTGTTGATAATGGCAACTGGCCTAATTCAACCCTTTATGTATTATTTGGCAATTTTCTTGTGGTCTCCCTCATGGGTTCACTCTTGCACTTTCTCGCTGTGTCTTTCCTCTCTTTCCCTCTATATCTTTCTCTCCCTCTGTCTGTCTGGATGTATTGTCTCTGGGCTATTATTAGAGTAGACATGCTGGTGGGAGGAAGTCTCTGAAGTAGACGCTCTTGTCATCTTTTTATTTATGGATTATATTCTGCTTTCCGTTAATTAAATATGTTTAACCTTTCTAGGCAATGTTTATGTGTCACCTTCTCATTATTTGATTAAATTTCTGACATATGTTAATATGTTGTAACATTTTATGTGCCACCTATGTATGTTCATGGGTGTGTGTATGAACATTAGTTTAGGTGAAACTGGTCTAACCTCCTTTACAGAGACCATGTTTTCCTCAAAACCTTTTTAGATTTAAAGCCATGGTTATTAATCTTTAATTTTTTCCTGTCTGAGTTGGTATCTAGGGAGATACCTTAAATACACAAAGCTCTTAGACATTCTCTTTGTTTTTCTCTCGTTCCTTTTCCTGCTGCTCTTTTTCTATCTGACATGAGAAAAACACATAAATGACAGACACAAAACAAATAGATGAGGTGCAAGTACGCCTACTCACGTTAAGCTGAGCTGTTTTTAGCTTCATGAAATGTGTAAATGACTTTTGAACAATAAATAATATATAACACACTTCCTGTCTCAACCTGAAATGTGCTCATTGTGTTTTCATTTAGGATGTGTTCTGTATTTACTTGACAGAGAAAGAGCAGATTACTGGATAGATAACATGCGCTGTACAAATGGAATATGTTATGTATAATGTTTCCTAGAAAAACTGGTTTAGCCATTGCACACTGTTTTCTCCCCCTCCATCTTCATCCTTCCTCCTCTCCTCTTTCAATCTCTTGCACTCACTCCCTGTAGTCCAGCTCTCTCCCTCTCCCCGTTGCAGTAATAGGAGACTTGAAATCAATAGCACATTAGTCTGCCCGGAAACTCTTGTGGAATTAAATATGAATGACTGAGATTGCAGCTCTACCTGCTGCTGAGAGAGATGCATGAAGGCTCTTGGGGATATGGGCCATTTTGTGCTGTTCTTACAGCTTACCGCATCACTGAGCTACCTTGTTTTGTCGGAGATCAGTGTGCAGCACTGTGGACTTTGATAGGTATTGTTGGAGTTGTCATTTTGTCCTCGGCACTGAACAGTGAACCAGACCGATAGTATAATTTGATAGAGCAAATGGGATCATGGACGTCACAAAGCCGCGACAGCTCAGGAGGCAAGAAGAATCAACCGACCACACCCATCCTCCAAACACAGCAGCAGCACCATTTGAATAAGAAAGAGCTCTCTGGTTATTAGCAGATTGCATCTTACTTTTTTTCAGCATTTCCTCCAAATACAATATGCGCTTTCTCTTTCTCTTTGCTTTGCACATTCATCTTGTAAGTTTTTACATGCAAATTTCGTTACTTGGTTGGGTTTCATTTTCATTAACTGCTTCACTGTGTAGAGTGGAATACTTTCTTTTACCATGCTGTTTGGCTTAAAAGCATAATTTGCAAGGTGGTTGGAGAGTGCTGGTTGGTGGGAGGAAGGTAATATTAGACAAAAAAGCCACAACGTATGCTTCTGGGAATTGGTAGAGGCTTGGACACCACTAAGCTAATACACATAGATATAGATATGTAGAGGTAGATGCATTTGTGAGCTATATTTCATCCCATCAGAGATGAAACGGTTTGTGACAGATGGAGTGATATTGTTCCCCTGTACGGCCCATGAGTGCGGCCCCTCCTGCTTTCCCTCCCTGACAGATGTAGGGGGAGGACCACAGTGCACTCTTCTTTCTTTCAATTGATTTGGGTGCTTGAACCCTTAGGGACTGGAGGGTGGTGGGGAGATGGGGGTGGTGGTAATGGTGATGGGGGTTTAGTCATTTCCTGCAGCACAGAACCTGTAGAAAGTCGAAAGCAAGTGCTGTAAAGAATTCATAAACATATTATATGCATATATCTGCATATATTCAAACATGGAGGACACTAAAAAGAGTGTGCTCTGAGAACTGCACACAGTGGAGGTGGAA